CACTTGCTATCTGCCCGTCCCATACCTGCTCTCCGTACGGACTCGACTGCAACTCGGATTTACCCAAAATAAACTGAGCCGCCGTGTTCAGCTGTGCTGCGGTGCCGGGTTTAGAGAGCAAGGCCGTATCCAACAAAGCTTTCTTCATCTGCTGCAAAGTGAGGAGTTTGAGCAGCAAACAGCTCATGGGTCTGCAGGAGGGCTGCAGACTCACTGGCACAATTTCCCCAGATAGGAGTTTTTGCATGTGGGTTAGGACCGCAGCATCGTCTTCAGTATCACTTGATGCAGAGGTCTGGAGAGGTGTAAATTTGCTGCAGTGGATGCTGAAGAGGGTGTCTACTTCCACCATGGTGTATGTGAGGAGGAGCGCTGCCTCCTGAGTGTTCTGTTCCCACAGTGATCCCACCTTACACTCTCTCTCCGGCTCTTTAAAACTGCGTTTGCCTTTTCTTGGTGTCCCTTTAACTGACCTTGCATTAGCTTTTCCAGCCTTGTTCTCGATTGACAACAGAAGCAGCAACTCATTGGCTACCTGCTGAATCGCCTCCATCAAACCCTTACCCTGCCTGACAACAGGAAGAGGAGAGGTACCGTCTAGGGTCTTCAGACTAAACAAAACCACATGAAGCAAGTGGCTGAGGGAGAACAGCTTCATAGATGCATCCTCTCGCTCTAGGGCCACCTTTATTTCTTCATTCTCCCCTTTACCATTCCCTTCCCCATCAATCTCCATCTTCTCTGTCTCGCTTTCCTCCCTCATCAGGCCAGGTAGTATATATTCCCTGATGCTCTCCAACACCAATGAGCAGATCTCTAGGCCCTGGGAAGCGGGAATGTCCAGAACACAAGTCCTGAGCGAGGCGGAGACGCTCTCAGGCAGCAGAAGAGGTTGTAAGCCGTGTAGTGCTGGCTGACAGATCACAGACAGGAGCTCAGAGAACAGGCGAGGCAGCTGACGGAGCTTGGTGTAAGTTTGAAGGAGACTGCACACCACGAGCTGTTGGGAAACAAACACTATCTCAGTCGACACAAATCTTTCTTAAATTTCACCATTTGAAATTTTGCATTTGCAAGTTCTTAGTTCATTTAAATCATTCTATAAATACAGAATGCAATTTAGGATTTAAATCAAGACCTGTCTGGCCCGTTGCACTCGTGCCTCCATGCACCCAGAATTAACCCAGGCTGAAGATAACAGCTGGTCCACATCGGGTTCAAGAATAAGATGGTTGAGACTCAGCAGCATCTTCAAACAACGGTACCACGCTGGGATCCTGTAGGAAAACACAGGGAACATTTTCACTGTATGACAAAGAAATAGGTAAAACAAATCATTTAAAAACAGACACACACAGTTTTTGTTTACCTCGGCTGGGCCTGGTTGAAGAGCATTTGCCCCAAAGCTCTGTAAAATTTGAATTGGACCTCTTCATATCTGATCCTGTCTGCTGCTACATTGTAAATATCCGCTGACAGCGCCTGGCTCAGCAGGGACTCCACAGCCAGCAGAGCCAGGCTCCAGCTCTCTGGTGAGCTGAGGGGGAGTGGGGGAGACGTCTGCTCGGGGGACACAGAGGCGGGCCGGTCTGCATTGGCAGGTGATAGTAACTGTTCACCAAGGCATACTTCCAAGGCCGGAACCAACCTGGCGAGGAAATAAAAGCAGAGCATCCTATGGGCCTCCTCACTTCCCCTTTCCTTTGCGTAGCTTTCCAGAAAGAACTTAAACAGCAGAGGCAATGTGTTCGACTTCACGCTGTAGTGTAGAGACGCCACACAGTAGCCCCGAGCATTCAGTTTGGAAAGTATGGCACTGACCGGCTTCAAGGGGCCTCTGCCCCCTCCAGGGCCGCGTTTCCCAGAATCCTCTTTCGATGGAAGGAGCTCCTCCTTGTAGAAGGTCAGGTGCTCAGAGGGAAAGAGCGCTAACTGAAGGATGGACTCTATCTTGATGCGGATGTCTCTGGACAGATGCTGACTGATGCGCAGATGTGTGAGAGAGCGTGCAAAATCCCCAGATGTCAGCAGGTGTCGGAGCAGTATTAAAGGTTGGATCAGCTGGTTGGTCACCATGGTCGAGACCCGATTAGGATTGGCTTGTTGTCGCTGGACAGACAAATAACACGACAGCACCTGAAGCAACACCTCAAACAGATTGGCCGAATGGATGTTTTCCTTTGGCTTTGGAGACGACTTATTCGCATCGAACTCTGGCTGATCTGAAGAATCTTTGGTGACCGCCACAATTAGGGAACTCTCCAAATCGCTAGCAGGCTGAGGTTGAAGACACTCCGTCATCAGCTCATCTTGACATGTGACGGACTCAGTCATCAGGGGTTCTGTGAGCAATGACTGCTGTAGCTCACGGCAGGCCAGGGAGCAGAGCTTAGCCAGGAGATCCAAAATCAGTTCATACTTGGTGGTGAAGACCGATGAGAGCGCAGGAGAAGAGAGAAGGCCCTGACACACACTGAGCACTGTGGACATACACACCACAGACTTAAGGCCAATACTTGCACACTCCTGGAGACGGTCCAGCAGCAGCTAGAGGCACGGAGAGAAAAGAGGTGTCAGTTAAAACCTTCATATAACAATGACAATGCTCCTCGGTGTCTCCCCATGGTTTACAACTTTGTATGCATGCATGTGCATGCGCGCACATATCGGGGGTGGGGTCGTGCTTGGGGAAACACTGCTCGTTGTACTCTTTGTACTACAGCCGAAGCAATCGTCCAATATGAGACCATGAGTAAAATTAAAAAAGCGGTGTCATTGGGTTACAAACCCCACTCAACATTTAAGTAGTTGTTGTTTTTGAAGTATTCCGAGCCCACCTGTGCCATGTTGCGTCTCAGGCTGATGGTTTTGCCGTGCTTAAGAAGAGAGCGGAGCTTTCGGCTGTGAAGCAGGTCGTCCAAATAAAACCAGAGTCCTTCCAGAACATTCTGTGAAAAGTCCACCTTCTTATTGTACCAGCCTGTCAGTGCGTGGATGCACCAGTCCAACAGCACCTACAGTGGAAATGTGGGAGGGGGGCAGACATGGAAGGTGGTAGACATTTACATTGTGCTCCTAAATTCCTACTTCAGAAGTGACACAGATGCTTTTTTCAAAAACAACTCAAATCAATGAACTTGATTTTATTTACTGAAATTGAAAAATCTGAATGCAAGTCTGTGTCTTGTTCTGCATTCTGGATGTGATCTGAATGTCATCATGATTCTATGAGGATAAAACATCTTGTTATCCATCTTCAGTGGTTACCTGTTCCTTGTTAGGCAGCAAACACTGCGTGGAGACCCAGGCAAAACGTGCCAATTTTAACTTGTCCTCCCACGCAGTGTGAGGATTCTTCAGTTTCAGGTGGATACCGGAGTAAATAGCAGCCATCGCTGCAGCCGGTGATCCTGCTGTTCTAGCCTGAAGAAAGGGGATGGAGAAGAGTTAAGAGTCAGTGGGAGCAAATGTAAATATTTATAAAAGTAATTTTACAAATATTTTATGGATCTTGTCGTTTGACTTATTAAAATAATGTGTATATTAGTATAGTCATATTGTTGGTGAATATTGTATTGTATTTAATAGCGATAAAGAGTGTAAGGGAATGCTACTAGTTATATTCCACCAAGTCAAAGTCCTTGTATGTCTAACATATTTTGGTAATAAATGTTTCCTGATCCCCTGATATAACGATGGACATAGGTGTTTACATTGTAATGCATGTACAAACGCCCACATGGGGCTGAAAAAGAGATATTTCTCTCGTACTAGCAGTGAGCTTGCGATGATATCTTTTGAACATACATTTTCAACACCAAAAGGTTAAAACCACGGAACAGATGTTTCCCTCTATCAAAAACCGGCATGCTTCGCTAGCTAGCTAGCTAGGTTAGCATGTCCGTATTATAGTCAAAGGCACTTTGTTTTGGTTTGTTAGCGCTGGAGCTTTTCGTTGTCCGCACGCAAGCGACTCATCTCTGATATCTGGTGTCCCTTGAGAAGTTATATACACTTGTGCGAACTTAGTTAATTAGACGTAACTTACGACGTTGTAACCGCACGTGCCTGCTGTTTTCAGTTGTGGACGAACTTTCAACTTTCACCCCGTCCGTCAGGCAGGCAGAAGCAATCGAGAGAGTGGATGTATCGCGTTATGCTCTTACCCGTCAAAATTGACTCATCGCAGGAACTAATTAATGGAGTTTTTTCTCTCTGTTTTTTTAATAATCATCAGTAATTTAAGAAATTAATGAAAAAGTAGTTGTCCTAGAAAACTTGTCAAAACAACAATTTAGCTCATATCTGATGTCATCGTTTTCTTGTCTCTGTATGCGCTATATGAAAATAACATACATCTGTTTTTCTTTGGGTTCAAATTTAATGATGTCATTTGTTTTGGGCCTTTTCACAACTCATTCTCTAAAGACGTGCCTTCCTTAGGGCTTTGAAATGACGATCTGGGTGAGTTTGGTTATGCCTGGGAAAGTTTGCTTACATCGTCAGCCATTGAATCATCCCGTCGAGAGGAGGAATCGTGTGTAACATTACATGAGAACGAAACCAGGGTCACCTCTCTCTTTTTTTCACCTCTTTGACTCTTTCCAGGAAGAAAAGCTGCTATTCTCACAGAGGATCTGGTTTCAGTCGGTCTTCGGCTGTTTGGTCTCCACTTAACCCGCCTGCCAACCCCCATATTCAGCGACAGATGACAGTGACAGGCGGGGTGTTGTTAGCTGTTCAGCGATAAGAGATAAACACGGGGTGAAGGCGGCTGTGAGGCGCAGATAAAATACAAATTAACGGTCTAAACTCGACAATGTAGCGGCGGGAAGCCACACAGCTGCTCGGGCCACGGATGCGGTGCGTTGACCTACTGGTTAAAGAGCTAACATGTGTTTTTCTCACAGTGGACTTGACACGTAAAACGTCCCTGAATCTTACCGACCACTAAGGACACCACCTACACCTCATTGACTATCCGCAATCCAGCTCGGACCATGCGGCTCTTGATTCGCCTGTCGAGGTGCTCGCACGGAGTTCACGTGTCCAAACTGAAGCCGGGGACGCTGTGGTTGGAGCACCGCCTTTCCCTCTCGGCGGCCCCGCGGAGGAAGAGGCAGGCGACCGGGGTCGAGCCGTCGGGCTTCCTCCTGTCGTCGTCGTCGTCCTCCTCCTCCGGCGGGCCTTTCGTGTCCCTGTCGCTCCGCGGTCCACTCGCGGGTCTCTCCGTGCTCCGTTCGCGCACACCTGTTGCCTTCGCCGCCTCCTCCTCCTCCGCCGCCTCCTCCACGCCTTCGCCGGTGAAGAGCGAGGCGGACGCGGGGAGCCGCCGCGCGCCGTCCGCGGTGCCGCTGGACGACGCGAGGAGGATTCTGCGGCTCGCTCACCCGGCGAGATGGAGACTGTCAGGTAAAACTGCGTGTGTTTATTCACCCTGTCCCTTTGTCCCAGTATAGAAAACGTGTTGCACTTCCAATACAGATTTTAGTGCTTTAATCTAGTGTGCAATTAATCTTTTTTCACTTCACCTCAATATTAGAGGGAACTTTGTTTAGCATTATTTTTTTTATATACAAACAGTGACCTCTTTGAGTAAATTATTTCTGCTTGTTCTAGCTGGTCTTATATACGAGCAGCTATTTCATGTCTAATGTTCTAAATCACTGCAGTATTAGATCCAAGTTAAAATAAAGAGACGTGTATTCATTTTGTTTATGACCCTTGGATGCATATCAGCAGTAGTTTCTTAGGTTTTCTTATCGTTCACACCACGTTGTAGTTTTCATGCCTCCCTCCCTTCATGCCTTTATATTACTTTCAAGCTTTAAAAAAAATCCCAAGTATCTAACATCAGTTTTTGCTGCGCAACCCCTTCAAAGAATGCATTTCACTTCCTTCCATAAATTGTGGCCCTGTTTTTTTTTTTCTTTCCACTATTATTTGAATTAACATATTGTTTTTTTCCACATCAGCTGCTCTGGGATTCCTGACTGTCTCCAGTGCGGTAACCATGTCGGCTCCCTTCTTCCTGGGCAAAGTGATCGACACTATTTACACCACTGGAACAGACACAGAGACAATGACAGCCTCCCTCACATCATTATGTATCATGCTGACGGGAGTGTTCCTGTGTGGTGGGGCGGCCAACGCTGCCCGAGTCTACCTCATGCAGACCGCAGGTGATCTGGTGATCATATACATAAAATATGACTACACTACATTGCATATGTCTTCCCCTGTCTCAAGTGTTTGAGTTAAACAAGGCTAACAAACAACAGCTTTCCAAAAGGACCAATCTAGTGATAAATAGCCATCACAAGCCAACAAAGCCTGAAAGAAATGTGCTCAATAATGTTATTAGGTAGATGTAACTATCCGTATTTGTCAAGATGCATCCAAACTCTATGTGAATTTTCAGTGAAAGATTGCCTTGAATCATGAATCACTTACAACGGATGGAATCAATTCACTTGGTAAACTGAAAATCTTATTGCAACGGTCTCCTATCCCTGTCTTCATCACCAAAGTCTTCTCTTTTCTCTCTTCAGGCCAAGAGATTGTTCGTGATCTCCGAACCGGCGTCTTCTCCTCCATCCTCAGACAGGAAGTGGCATTTTTTGACAGGAATCGGACCGGCGAGCTCATCAACCGCCTCTCCGCTGACACAGCCGTGGTGGGCCGTTCCATCACCGACAACCTTTCCGATGGACTGAGGGCCGTCGCCCAGGCAGCTGCCGGTGTCAGTATGATGGTGAGCACGGCCCTCGGAGGCCACCGCTGTGCTGCTGAGGAGGGATCCGAATGAGGACTCACTGGGGGTTCATTCATGATACATTGATGGATCGAGTACTGATTTGACACAATTATTTACACGCAGTCAGTCCGATCTTTAATAGAACCAATAAGAAAATACACAGATAGTAAGTGAGTAAACCACATCATTGTATCTGTTCACACTGTGCCCTGTTTTGGAATTTATTACAAGGAAGGAGTTAGGGTTTCTTGGTATGCTTTGTTTGCTCTTTAGGAAACAGGTTTACGATCCTCATGAGGAGAAAAGATTATATTGAATGACGACCGCACCCGGAGCCACAGAGACAAAACAAGCGCTCAAACGGATCCTTATTGTCAGCTATTTAAATGACTCTCATCTGACCGCTACCTTTTTCTGTGTTGAATGTCCTTCATGGATCAGAGATTTGTTGACCAACAGGTCCTTTAACTTCCAGTATTTTCTCAAACATGAATTCATAAAACCAAACGACACGCAATCTGTCCTTTTACGAGGAAGTACAACGATTTACTGGTGTGAAGAGGCTACAAGTTAGCGGAAGGAATTTTTGTAATTCCCGTCATGTGGTGTCCACACATTCTTTTGTCTTTCTCCTCTGCTCCCTTCCCCCTCCTTCCCTCTCTCCTTTCTTTGCTACCGTTTTATTTCCATTAACTTCTTCTTCTCTCTCTGCTCTGGTAGTTCTACGTCTCTCCCAGTCTGGCGAGCTTTGTGTTGCTGATCGTTCCTCCTGTGGCCGGTCTGGCCGTAGTCTACGGCAGATACCTTCGCTCCATCTCCAAACGCACACAGGACGCACTCGCTCAAGCCACACAGGTACAATGAACGGGTCAAATGGTTCATACGTTGTGTTGTACATTCTTTTTTATACATGTCTATATATTCTATAGATGTATGTTCATTACTTGAAGCCATACACCGACAGTATCTTTGTTTTGTGTTTATCTGAGACAAACGCTACACTGCCTGTGAGGCTAAATTCCACTTGCAGATAAGAGTTAATTTGCTGTATTGAATGATCTGAGTTTAAATACATAACGTTGTAATAAAACGCCGTGCCTGTGTGCAGTTGGCCGAGGAGCGTATCAGCAACCTGCGGACGGTCAGGGCTTTTGGTAAAGAGCTGTCGGAAGTCAAGACGTACGCGCAAAAGGCCGACCAGGTCCTCAGTCTGGCCAAGAAGGAGGCCGTAATACGAGCCGGCTTCTTTGGGGTGGTAAGTGTGTGTGTCTGTGTGTCCCGTCGGTGAAGCAAACCAAATTCGCAGTTAGGAAATGGGACATTGCACAGAGGCTTCTGCTTTTTGGCCCCTGTTTTGTCACAACGCCACAGTACCTGACGTGGGTGTCTATGACGGATGTTTCACCGAAAATACATTTTTAAACCTCCAAACTAATTCAGAGAATACAAAAACTCGTCTGTGTGCTCTGAATGGTTAAGACACGGTTGAAAACAACTTAGATCACAGCTCTTCAACAAGTGTTTTCTTTTCATACCTTTTTATCATTTAACATTTTTCTGTCTAATTCTCTGTGCATCCTACAGCCTTCAAAATGAACATAGAATAAAACTGTGTATCAAATAGTACCTGTTTTTATATATTTGTGTCTTATGATAAAGCATTGATCGAGAAGGGCATCTCAGTCTGTAGGTGAAAATAAGCTCTCTCTGTTTAAAATGCTAAATAACGCACTGCTTGCTCGCTGAACTCTCATCCAGATATCTACAGAGAGACCAGTTCACCCATCTAGCAGGTTCCCTAATTGGGCTGTAAATCAGGATAATAGCTGCCGTGTCAGGGAGCAGCAGCCTTGCCTGACGTTGCGGTAATTAAATAACCAGGGTTGTGTGTGTTCTGCGTGCATGTGTGTTTCAGACGGGTCTCAGTGGTAACATCATGATCCTGTCGGTGCTGTACAAAGGAGGCCTCCTGATGGCCTGCCAGCACATGACGGTGGGAGAGCTCTCGTCGTTCCTCATGTACACCTTCTGGGTGGGCATCAGCATTGCAGGTAATGCACACGCATACATGCATGTGGACCTTCCTGGTACCCGAACCTCCTCATGTGTACTCAGTGTGTCTGAGACGTCTCTGTGTGTGTAGGCCTGAGTACTTTCTACTCTGAGCTGATGAAGGGGTTCGGAGCAGGATCCAGGCTGTGGGAGCTGCTGGACAGAAAGCCTGAGTTTCCTTTAAATGGTCAGTGCGCACACACACACACACACAAGCAAACACTATCACCTCACAACACTTAAAAAGTGTTGTTTTCTTCTCATCTGTCTCTCTCATCAGTATCTTCCCTGCTTACCAAAGGGGTTCACGTTGTTCATTCTCAAAGCTCTCTCTGTGTAACTGTTTATCACTGACCGCTGTTCAGTCAGTTCTATAACTACCTATCAACACACACTATTTAGAATTATCAATTTAAGATGTAGTAAAGCAATTTATTTGCTTTGTTTCCATGTTCATTCCTTCTATTTACCCTAATTGACTCTATTTAGACCCATAAGTAAACAGTGGTTCTATAAATCGCTCCCCTCCTCCACAGAAGGCCTGGTGCTTCCCTCAGACCAGCTGAAGGGTCGGTTGGAGTTCTCTGATGTCTCCTTCGCCTATCCCACGCGTAACGAGGCTCCGATTTTCCAGAACCTCAGCCTGCTGGTCCCAGCCGGCAGCATCATGGCCGTGGTGGGGCCGAGTGGCTCCGGAAAGTCAACCCTGGTCTCGATGCTGCTCAGGCTGTACGACCCTCAGTCCGGTGAGAGCGAGCTTGTTCTGTCTAGAATTCAATCAAGCCGGATGCCTGTCCTGACCTCTAAGAATGAACTCTTTTCTGCAGGTATCATCACCATAGATGGTCATGACATCAGAGATCTCAATCCCTATTGGCTCCGGAGTCACATAGGAACTGTCAGCCAGGTGATTCCATTTTCTCCACTTGTTTATGTTCCCGTACAACAGATCTCTCGTAACGCGATAATTGCCTGTGAGCCTTTCAGTGAAGATTGTCTTCCCACCTCTCTCCCAGGAGCCGGTGCTGTTTTCCTGCTCCATAAGAGATAACATTGCATATGGCGCAGTGGACCCAGACGCTGTGACCACGGAGGACATCTACAGAGCCGCCAGAGTGGCCAACGCCTTTAATTTCATCCAGACCTTTCCTCAGGGCTTCGGCACGGTAGTGGGCGAGAAAGGAGTGCTGTTGTCAGGTGAGGAACTGAGGCGGGGACTAAATCTACCGCTGGGTTATATTGATAATGAGGGTAGGGGGGTTTAAACGAGCCGTGGGACATTTTCATCTGATACCATCTCTCATATGTCACACATATTTGTTCAGTGTGCTAATTTCTACCTTTTGAATGGTTTAAACTCATCCATATACAATTTTAATACTTGTTTTTTAATAATGAAAAAGAAGAAAACTTCAGGTTTGGATCTTGATCAACAAGACAAATAGTTGTTTTTTAGATTAGGTACTTTGTCAATAAACCACTGTGGCTCTGTGCACACAGGCGACTCGTGTCTACACCATTTACCTGTGTGTTTGCTTCTCAGGTGGTCAGAAGCAGAGGATTGCAATAGCCAGAGCTCTGCTCAAGGTGAGTGCAGCAACATTTGGTGACGGTGGCACACAGTACAGTGTTTCCCACAGATCCATCGTCAATGTGTGTCAACCGGGGGGGGGGGCGTTCCGCTGAACTGGAATAATTCGTTCAATATTAATTTGTAACACAGAACTTTATTGCAGTAAATACAAAACAGGGATTCGCGCCTACACAAACGTTGTGCGCAAAGTCTGAGCAACGGAGGGAGAGCAGTGAAAGGAAATGCAGCTGAACGAATACGCTGCGTGATTTAAATAGCGTTAAAATAAATAAAAAAATACACCAAGCGCAATGTGTGGCGGCCAGTGTTGAATCTGTGGCGCAAGTCAATGTGTGGGAAACACTGGAGTAGAGGGTGCTGCACCATGTCCCATGTCGAATCCCATCCACTGAACCAGAAGCTACAATATAACTTTAAAATATCAGGCGGAAGCAGGATCTACACTTGAGTCTCAGCCTTCATTATTTTCTGTTTGTTTAACTCTCTCGACAGAATCCTAAGATCCTGCTGTTAGACGAGGCTACCAGGTGAGAAAGAAACTGAGACTTTACTTGCTTTTGGTCTTGTTGAAGAAAACCCTAAATACAATCCTGTTTCATTAGTGCACTGGATGCTGAGAATGAGTTCCTGGTCCAGGAGGCCTTGGAGCGTCTCATGGAAGGTAGACGTCTCTCGCTGTCTTCGTTTTCAGGATACATTTTCAGTACAGGTGCAGCGATATGTCTCTCTTTGTTTCTCTCGCCGCGCATCATATCCCACACCTCTCGTCCAAATCAACAGGGAGGACGGTGGTGATCATCGCGCACCGCCTGTCCACCATCCAGAATGCGAACGCCGTGGCCGTTCTGGACCAGCGGCGCATCGCTGAGTGTGGGCAGCACACTGAGTTGCTAGGCAACAGCGAAGGGCTGTTCCGAAAACTGATGGAGCGACAGGCGTTTCTACAAGCTGAGCAGAAACGAGCGCTTCGCTGACGGGACGGTGGGAGGAAAGACGAGCGGAAGAGGAGCACATTGTGACGGGAGGTCAGTGCCTGGGAGGAAGTGACTTTGTTTCCAGAATTTTGGGAGCAAAGGGGGAGAAGAAGAAGAATCAAAATGAAAAGGGCAGAAGGGAAGCGGAGCCCCCTACAGGACTACGGAGAGAAGGAGGAGAAGGTAAAACCACTGAGAAAAACATTAAAGGGGTTTTCTTAAGTGCTGGAGGAGTTTTCTCACCGCTAAAATGACTGTTTAGCACAAGACGAAGGGCATGAAACGGAGGGTTTAATCCACGGCAGAGAGCAGAGAACTGAAACACGAGTTTCATAGAGATGCTTTATTTTTTAAATATCTATTTCAACACTGAATATCAAGTTCTGAGTGAAAAGGAGAAATAACGAAGACACACAAGAAGCTCATTACCTACGTGTCATTTTTTTTAAACCACTGTCACTACCAACTAATTTTGGGGAAACCCCCAAGTCCGGTTTTAAGTAGCAAATGAATGAAATAAATGTGATGGTATGAATTTGGTGCAGAATATTTCCTGTTAATCTTTCATCATTTTCAGAACCAGACTAAAAACAGTGTCGTGTACACAAACCTGGTAAATGTGTGTATGTGTCCACGTCATATTGATTTTTAAAACTTGAAGCGTACATGCAGAGCCTTTCTAATGTCTGTTTTATTTGTTTGTCTTTAACAAGCATAGCAAAGTGTCTATTTGTGTCATTGCAAAACGGGACCGAACACTATCGGGACATAAATTAATGAATGCACATTTGCATGAAAAATGTAGCTGATCCTGTAAGTCAGCTTCTCTTCACAAGAATTTGATCTCTGCTAAACGACGGGATAGGTTTTCTAATATGTTTAGATTTATTTCGTTCTAATCTGTAAAGGCAACATTACAACCTCCTGACTGCCGACCACTGTGTCCGTCAGTGTGTTTCTTTCATGCTCTGTTAACAGGACGTGCACTTCTCTAGCAATAAAGTCCCTGTAAACGGCTGTAAAACCACGTGCACGGTAGCAACAACACTGCTGACCCGGCTAAATATTATAGCTGGCTTAGAGGGCCTGACTCGGAAGGAAATGTTTGCATGTGAAAAGCCCCCTTTTTTTTGTTCGGGGTGCAGAGTGCCACTCCAGAAATGCAAATATGTTTACCTTGAATCCCCCTCCTGCTCTAAAAGGACTGTAGATCTGATGTTTTTTAAAACTGTGAGAAACAAGCAGACTCCAAGAAACATCACTGATTCACGGCAAAGGTTACAAGGAATCCCATATCATCAAAGTCTCTATTTAAAACTATTTTTGCTATATTATTACTGTCTGTTTCTAAAACAGAGCTCAGATAGCATGTTGGAGCAGCTTTTGGTAACACTCTTATTATTTCTTTGATTCTATTATTCCAAAATGGTATATTAATAAATTATTAATACAATGTTGTACTGGAGCCCTGCGACTGACGATGAACCCCGATGTCAGCTGGGATTGAAGGTGTAGAAGATGAATGACTGTTCTACTTGAAGACTAGTTTTTCTTTGCCCATTCGACAAATATGACATGACTGCATACTTGTGTGCATTTCTCTGAAGGCTTATGCTAGATTTTTTTTTTTTTATTTGTATGTTTTCGATTGGGGTGGTAACTGAAATTATTCTGAACTATGATATTTAAACAAGAAATGAATGAATACAACATTGATCATTGGTAGTTGACCGACAGCGCCTAAATGTTGTTTGTGTACGACACAATCACTCACTGGATGTGTAAACGTAGAGGTGTGGCTGCAACAGGAAGCTCTGTTCTCTCAGTTAACTGAGGTCACTGTGGAAAGTCCTCATGTTCTCTCTTGGTTCTCACTTAACTCACAACAGATTAGCATTTTCTTACATGTTCATCATTATTTGAAGGTAAACATCTCATGTCCAGAGTTGTGTTGTAGTTCCTGTGTGAAAGAACAAACCCTACATATTCAAATTAAATAGAGAAATAATATACTCTGTAGAGCAAACACTGAACGTTTAATGACAGATCCGGGTCATAAATTATATGTTCCAAATGATCTATTATATATTTTGTATTGTTTTTGTGTTTGCTAAATTATTACACTTTGTAATATGTAAAGGTAAATAAAGTGAGATGTCCACGATATCTATTTATGGGATACATTTGTATGTGTTTGTATTGTTTGTTGATCAGTTCATTAAGTGTAATCAAATGACTAATTTTGTCATTAGTTTTCATTTTTATTTGTAAAGTTTCAAGGGGGTGTTGAGATATTTTATTTTATAGATCTTAAAAAGAAGCCCTGTCAAATACAGAACAGCTAAAAGAGATTGGGAGAAGAGAAACACTTAAGTCCCATCATTTGCTCAATGTAAGTTGTATTTTCCTGCACCAGTTTACATTTTACACGTTCAACTCAACCTTTTCACTCAACATTCACTGTCACAGTGTATTTTTGTCTCCTAGGTGGACCGCATGTTTCCATGCGGTGTGTAATGCTGTCAGTAGGTGGCGCTGTTGCTTGATACTTTTTAAGCTTAAAGGCTTACTGTCCACTGCTCACTGCATGTTAGTGGGATCATTGTTCATTCAATCCATCATACCAAAATAAAACTTCCTGGTAATGAGTGGTGTTTGTTCAGCTGCTGCGCGTCGTGTTGACAGCGTTCTCGTGCAAATAGCTCTGCACATTGTCCCGTCCACATGTATCCAAGCAGTAAATGAATGAAGTCCACTGATTTATCTGCTCGTCAATGTGGTTGTCGCTCTTGTGGCCAAGGTTAAGAATCTATGAGTATCCCTTGAGTAAACTTCAATTAACCAATTTAACTGGATCAGTTTCAGCCCCGTGTTTGAAACTGTAGAGGAATAAAAGAGGAAAATACATGCTGTAAAGAACGACCGGAAATCAAAGTACCTTTTTTATTTAAACTCATGCCCATTCTGGACCTTTTGTTAACAGTTTATATGGTCATGACAACCTAAATGTAGATAGTTAATTCTCACCAGATTCCTTCCGACAGTGTGATCTCGCTCTCTGTTTGAGCAGTAATATGTGTCCCTTAATTCTTCTTAAACTCTTTCCAACCAACCAAACGCGCCCGAAGCAGCAGCAGCAGTTGTTCCTGCTCTGCAGGCGACGGGTTAAGCTGCCTCACGCAGCTCACCAAGTGTTGCTCAGCCTCTGCAAGGGTTTCCAATTCCAGCCATGTGCTGCGGTTCCCTTTGCTTTTCACTCTATCTGGCCTGGGCTATTTGAAGACCTCCAGGAACTGAGGTTCTGATCCTCTTCAGTCTGACATAACAAAATAATATGATAATCTATTTGCTTTATGTCTAGAAAAAAAATGACATAAACCTTTACGATATGAAAATAAAAATTGCATACATTTTGGAGAAGAAAAAAAAACCCTTGCTAAGTGTTGAGTGAGGTCGACCGCACCACACAACCTTGGTGAGCTGCAGATCACGCAAAGGTTTAAATGAAGCTTATGAAGCATTATTTCATCTAGAATTTGCTTTAAATATTAGACTTCCCACCGTTTTGTATAGTATAGTATCAGATGTTTTTGCGCAATATTCTCCCTGATCAGCCTCATTCTCTCACTTCTGACTCCCTGCAGTGAAATACTGCTTCCTCTAGCTTCCCCTCATGCAGAAGCAGAGCACCTTCTTCTGTGATTGAAACAGACTGTTTCACTTCAGGAAACTGGACGCTCTTTGAAAAGGTTCCGGAGGAGACGAGGAGTCTTGTTTACCCTCATCGGAAGCATAGAAAGCAGCATTAGAAAGCAGTGAGCTCAGGGAGCTGATTTGTGCAGCACATCACGAAACCAAATTAGGCCACACGGGAAGCAGAATGAAACTTTATGGGACCAAATCACACAAAATGTGCCCCTTGTTCAAAGATGTGTTCACAATATTTAGGAATCTTTCCCGAGACTAGCACGGTCAGAATGTACGTGTAGACACCAGACTATTCTTTTCAACAAACTTAACAAAAAATACGTCTCTTTCCCTTTGGTACTGGCCTTTTTACTACATCCTTAGTATCTCTAGTATTAGTGTCCTCAAGTATTCTTCACTATATCACCAAAGATTAAATAAAACAACATCTCCTGTGTGTTCTATGCGCCGCACTGAGCTCCTGTCGCTGAGCACACTGCCACGCTTAAAAAGGTAGGACACTTGTGTACAGCAAATGTATTGGTTCCAGCAACCGACTGCCGAGGCTTGTTCTATTCTTACCCTTCCTCTGTCCCTCTGACCCTCGGTGTTCTCATGAGACAGACAAGTGTGGTGACTGAAATACAAATCTAACTGAGTAGGTAGAATTGTGGAAAAGAATATCCACGTGTCTCTACTTTTCCACTCATCTTCTTTTTCTTTGACTTGCAAAAATAGGACATGTGATTGATATGAGACGTACAATTAAAGAAACGCTGGAATGAAACATTGAAGACATTCTTTGTCCAAATTCTGTCCTTCAGCTGGCCGCCGTACAAATCTTCTGACAAATGGAACACATTTTTTTCTCCACCTGCTACACACCCTTTTTACCTCCCTCTTTGTCCGCCCCCCTAGTAGTCTTTCCAGGAGACTCCCTGAAGTCTCCTCCCCCGCGTCCCCGCACCCTCCATCCCAAACCCCCTCCGCAGGACAACTGCCAGCCCCTTTACATTTTAGGCGTTTCACAGGCCCTCGGGTCCAAATGGCTCACAACAAGTGCATAAAAGTAGCTCTACGTCGCTTTGCCGCCCCTCCACTTCCTGACGCCCTCCCACCTCTCACACAAACACACACACACACACACACACACAACTTCATACACGGAAATAATATTTAATGAAAACATGAAGGGACAATTAAGGCAAATTCACAATACACTTACCAATTACTGCTGATTAAATAAGAAAAGGAAGCACAAAGATGCAACTTTCTTTGCTTATTAGTAACTTGTCAGGAAAGGTTACATGTCAACACTTTGTTTAATTAATCAAACTTACGATATGACAGCTAAATAATAAGGCATGTGTTTCAATCAACAATTACGAACAGTACTTCTTTACTCATTGTGTCTGATGGTTTGAAGATGGTTCCCTCTTTGAAGAACATTTAACTTTGGACATTTGACATAAATTGACATAAAATTGACTTAAATGTTTAAAAAAAAGCACACGTCTCTAACGTCTCTTGTTGTGCACGTGAAGTTCCAGCTTGGATAATATGCATGAATTCCATTCTACTTTGTGTCTACATGTATCAACATTAGTTGCTGTAGCAAGGAATCTCCAGTTGGCCTCAAGTGTCATTCAGGTCGTCGCTCCTCTGCAGGCTTCTGCTCCGTTCATTTACCATATCAAGTCACATTTCTTCTCTACTTTTTACATGTGTTCCTTTGTCGTTCCTCACCTTATTTGAGTTTATTATACGCTCATTGTCACCTCCTGTACCACTTCTTCTCATGTCTCATGCCACAAAAACACACAAACATACATGTGAGTGCACACATGCACATGCGCACCAGCTCCCCCTCTTCCATTTGAGTTATAATTAATCCAACTGCTCCACTGACAGAGCAGAGTAGCCCCTGCAGATACGGTTTCAGCTGTTGGCTGTTTCAGGGGTTCTCTCCTTCTTTATTCAATATGACTGTGTGAATACCACGTGGGCTGCAGAATGGCTCAGTTTGAATAAAACTCTTAATAGCTTTTATAATAGCATGATTAAAATCAGGGATTCCATTTCACACCACCTTAAGATCGTTGGTGCACAATCACCAATTATAATTTTTTATCAAAGCATGCTAAATAAATACAATTTATAGATGCCGAAAGGCATTCAGTTTTCTTTGTCAGATTGGGCTCAACTTTATGCAAACTGGAGTTAAACAGGCTGCAGAAATGAATGCAATCAATAACATATACTACAACTAAGTTGTTATTATCAAACTTTCATAACTGGAATGATAGATGCTGCATATATTAACGTTTTACACACTGAATCTTCAATGTCAGCTTTGATCAATTTGCTTGTGCCATCTCGTATTGATCCTCATATATTGAATTGAACTCTTAATTGGCATTTTCAGACCGCAGCACCGTTGGTTGACCTGTCCATCAGCAAATCGGGTCACGGCTTTCCCTCTGGTCTAAATCTGTTCAGGTGAGGGCAGCATTTTCCCATTTTAAGGCCGGATGAGGCCTACTGGTAGCAAATCTACAACCCTGGTTGGTGACAACTGCCGTCTCCCCTAGAAAACCCCCACTGAACCGCGCGCTCCCTTATACGGCCGTCGAGGTGGGTCCGCGGCGCTCGATGGGAGGTCGAAGCGACAGTTCCATAAATGGAGCGCGCTCTCTCCGCGCCGGCGACGCGCAGCGTCAGTCCGGACCGTCTACTCTCACCTAAAGGGATGGATCTCCCTCCGGCCCGCCCACTCCTCGCCCTCTGCCTGTCAGCATCCTAATATGGCAGATGGGGGCCAGGGCTGAGGTTTGTGAATGGTGGAGGTTGGGTATATAAAGGGGACAAGCCGAACGGAAGATTGTAGCTGGTTCAGCAACAGCATTGGTTGGGTCTTCCTCTCCGAGCCGCAGACACACTCCTAAGGTAAGACCCCTGCTAGAACTCCTGAAGCCTCCTATCCAGGTCGGGTCTGAAGATTAGGACTCTACCAGAACAGCATCGCAGCATCTACTGGAGCAGAAGTTAGGCAGGGGACAGGGACACGACTCCCAGGACCAGATACCGCTCAAGCCAACAAGGGCAACTCTACTAGAAGATTTACTGTAGGATGCTGAGGAAGAAGGGACCTTTTTAATAGTAAACATTAGAGAAAATTGAGAGAGGCTCCAATCTGAACTTGGCTTTTTTCGATAGATTAATTGATATATATGTAGAGAAGTAAACTGATTGGCTGGCTTCAGCATCTTCAAGGTGTATCACTGAGTCTAGAGAAGGTTCTGATGCAGCAAGACGCAATGCACCTTCAGACAAATTAAAAGCCTGGGTGGTATACATGAAAACGTTGATTTCGACACACAGAATCCTCGTGGATTTACCTGAACCTTAGCACACCGTATATCTTTTATTTAGCTAAAGGGAGATTTAGAATAATATAGATAACGAATTATTATTAGAGAAAAAAAAATACGTCCAATTTGTAATATGCATGGCTCGTAAAGGTCATGCGTAATGTCGTACTGTCAGTGTGCCAAGAAACCGTTCGGAGCAAGGCATGTTACCATGTTCCTAGTTCAGTGGGGTCCAGTAAATAATATTTTTTAGTCAAATATGTTTCTGTCGTTTTAGTTTCTAAATATAAAACCCCTGGTGTGAGCTTGTAGGAAACGAGTAAATCAAAATAGATTATTTGATATCAATGTCTGTCGCCCCGTGGATGTTATTTCGTGAACTGAATTGTTTTTCTTCCCCTCCTCTCTTACAGAAACCAACATGTGTGACGACGAAGAAACTACCGCCCTTGTGTGCGACAATGGCTCCGGTCTTGTAAAGGCTGGCTTCGCCGGAGACGATGCCCCCAGGGCCGTCTTCCCCTCCATCGTCGGCCGCCCCCGTCACCAGGTAAACTGCAAAGAAAATACGAATATTTAATAATAATAGGAGAGACAACCTGGAAATATGCCAACTGATTGTAAGCTATGAAAAACGATCAATGTAATATTCACACCATTTATCCAAGGAATCCAATTTAGATTTCACTATATTTTACAGAAATATATATATGTCTTCCAGGCAGCTACACAGACTTACAGACTGACTGTAATCAGATCACATTCACATCTCTGAATGTTGATATTTTAGTGTCAGACTTTAGTTGTTTTGTGCAGTTGGATCCCATAGAAATAACGCCGTGGCACGCGGTGTGTTGTGAGATATGTGGATTCGGCTCATTTTACCACCGGCAATGTGGCCTTTGACTCTTGGAGACTAAATTAGTCACAAATGTATTGACGGTCACACAATTGCTCCCTGTCTGTCCCAGCTGTTATTTGGCACATTCGCGCAATGGTCAACTGTCCGTTTGCGTCAAACAGTAAAGACTTTAATCTGGTCAGACGAAGGTCATACATCACTTTGGATGTTTTGACGTAACCTTTCCATTGTCTTGCCCTCTCCTCCCACTTCAGGGTGTCATGGTCGGTATGGGTCAGAAGGACTCCTACGTCGGCGACGAGGCCCAGAGCAAGAGGGGTATCCTGACTCTGAAGTACCCCATTGAGCACGGTATCATTACCAACTGGGACGACATGGAGAAGATCTGGCACCACACCTTCTACAACGAGCTGAGAGTTGCCCCCGAGGAGCACCCCACCCTGCTCACTGAAGCCCCCCTGAACCCCAAGGCCAACAGAGAGAAGATGACCCAGATCATGTTTGAGACCTTCAACGTCCCCGCCATGTATGTGGCCATCCAGGCTGTCCTGTCCCTGTACGCTTCCGGCCGTACCACCGGTAAGACTGACAACAAAACAGCTGAAAATCATCGCATATTAACAAAAAGAATACGAACAAACATTTAGCCTTTTTGAGAAAATATATAATGTAATCGAAAAAATTGTATAACAATTACAACACATAATGTCAACGGAGCTATTAAGGCGCCTATTCCCGATTTTTACGCACAGCTTTTACGCACAGTCGGCTCGCCTTTCCGGGACTTCTAATGCGCTTTTATGTCCCATTTGTAAAGTATTGTTCAATCGCTCACGTCAGGCACACCGTTACACTCAAACCTAACATCTTGCAGAAATACTTTCTCGTTTGGACTCTACTAAACTCCCGCCTTGCCTCTCCTCAGGTATTGTGCTGGATGCTGGTGATGGTGTCACCCACAACGTCCCAGTCTATGAGGGTTACGCCCTGCCCCACGCCATCATGCGTCTGGACCTGGCTGGTCGCGATCTGACCGACTACCTGATGAAGATCCTGACTGAGCGTGGCTACTCTTTCGTGACCACCGGTGAGCAGCTCGACCTACTCCAGAAACAAAGCACATAAAAGGAAAATAAGAAATCCAAGACATGCTTTTAATTAGATGGAATCTAAATTATCAGCGAACTTCATATTTTTTTACCAGCAGCTTTTGTATCGCAACGAAATTGAACAGCAGCCCCCCACAGTGCAGGGTAATCAATGGGCATAGAGAACTGTTTATAATTATTGAAATTGATTATTAAACACGCAGGGATGTGTGTTTGAGAAAGGTGAACACTTAGCTGTCCAGCTTTCGTAACTTGTATAGTTCGGCTCGATGAATTACGCACGCACGGTTACTGTGTTTTTTTTTCTCACTCCGGACAAACTCTCATCAACTTGTCTCCCAACAGCTGAGCGTGAGATCGTGCGTGACATCAAGGAGAAGCTTTGCTATGTGGCTCTGGACTTCGAGAACGAGATGGCCACCGCAGCCTCCTCCTCCTCCCTGGAGAAGAGCTACGAGCTTCCCGACGGTCAGGTCATCACCATCGGAAACGAGAGGTTCCGTTGCCCTGAGACCCTCTTCCAGCCTTCCTTCATTGGTACGTCAGATAATCCTTTATTTATTCTCTCGGTACGCGCATCAGACATTGTGCCGACCCAGATATTCCCCTCCCCTTAACACTTACCCCTCTCACCTGACCAGGTATGGAGTCTGCTGGTATCCATGAGACCGCCTACAACAGCATCATGAAGTGCGACATTGACATCCGTAAGGATCTGTACGCCAACAACGTGCTCTCCGGTGGTACCACCATGTACCCTGGTATCGCTGACCGTATGCAGAAGGAGATCACTGCTCTGGCCCCCAGCACCATGAAGATCAAGGTATATATCATGATATCATAAACATTTAAATTACCCCCAAATTGAAATATTTTAAAGCAATGATTACACGTTAGAAATGGGATGAACTGGCACTGCACTGATCCACTTTCTCTCCCTCCCTCTCTTCTAGATCATTGCCCCTCCCGAGAGGAAGTACTCCGTCTGGATCGGTGGCTCCATCCTGGCTTCTCTGTCCACCTTCCAGCAGATGTGGATCTCCAAGCAGGAGTACGACGAGGCAGGCCCCAGCATTGTCCACAGGAAGTGCTTCTAAATCCTCCATGTTCATCTCCACCTTCTCCACTATCTACACCACCGGCTATATGGAGATCGAGAGAGAAAGGAGAGCAACCTCTGCGGCACAGCAGCACTCTGCTGTCAACGGACTGTCTGTCTGCGCTGTTGACATTCATATGCATTTTTTATTCTTTTAAAATGTGCATATTGTTTAGCTGTTTGTTGTCTGTGTTGCACGGAGAAAAGGCTGTGAAATCCACCACTGAACCATGCATCCACCCAAAAGAAAACTTTAATAAAAAAGAATAACAACATGTTTCCCAACACATGTGAATGTAAGTGTATATACATATTAATAATTTATTAAAGTCCATTATTTGGTATTTTGGACCCTGGCCTTGTTTTTCTATTAAAGGGAGGGTAATGGTGGGAGAGGGTGAAAAACAAAAGCTTTGGGGAAATAGGTATCCAAAAAAACAAAAACAGCAACATATGTCTAACCCGGGGGAGTATTTACCAATAGCATCACAACAACGAGGTCCGGGAGATGCTTGATTAGCTTAAGCACAAGTGTGCCAACTGTCAACCGACCCGCTCTGCCCCCATTACACTAAAGCTGAGCAGGTGTAAAGCTGAGCAGGTGTTGGCACGAAGCCGCGGCACCCAGAAGAAAGAGGCGGGGGTCTTTCTCGGGTCCCACCGGTCACTGAGTCTCTGAGGGCTTCTAGGCGGCACGGGAAAAGAAAGGCGACGCCTTAAAGGTCCGACAGTCGGAGTTTGACTCGGCAGGAATGCAGCAGCAGCAGCTCCGCTTTTGACCCGAGCAGATCGGTATCTTGGGATACCCGACACCCGGCCCTGAATCCCGCTGAACTGTCTGCCCTGCACGGCCCCCCGGGGCAGCTCCAGCTCCTTGACCATCTTTAGGCAAGACCAGCCCCGGAGTCCTTCCCTTATATGCATATAAGTTCACATGCTTAACTGGGTGTGGGGTTAGGGTGAGGCTTTAATGGGCCATACGAACCGCCCTGCGCACCCTTCATTCATATTGACCTATCATCGACCACCGTATTTATATCCATTTCCCTATTGGCTGCAAGTCGGCCTCTAATAAGCAACAGGGTATTTATACTTTTCAGAGCCGTTCGTGACTAAGTAAAGCACTGCAGCCCAATTCAACAAGCAACACGTTTCTCAATTAATATCTATTAAGATCGATAGATAGATACGTCATTCATCTCTTTAGTAAACGTAAAAGTGTTCCACATGAAATAAAAAATGCACACTATATACAATACACCAAATGCAATGAAATCACAATTATTTGTTGAATCGCAGCTTGTGGTATTAATATATTACAAAAAAACGTTTCTATACATTTGACCCTTTGAGGGAAATAATTCACAAACACCGTTCACTAACAGCATTGCTTACGTCACCGTGCGGGCCACCTGTTGCGCGTGTGTTTGGCTTTTTAAAAGCGTCCTCCGGGGGGGGCGGAGCTACGAGACGCAGCCCGGATTACAGCAGCGCGGGGACGGCCATCTGTTCTGCGTAACTTCCTGGAAATCCGAGCCCAGTGTAAGTATATTTACTGACCGGAGACACATTTAGACTCGTATAGCTCCGAATGAATGATGTCAGGCCGTGCGCTGTTGTACAGGAGGAGGTGGCGATGTCTTGTCAGTAATATGTTACGTGTCGGCTAATAACTGAAAGCGCCTGTCGCGCGATCATAGATGTTCTATGTTATCACACGTTTAACGCACGTCAACGGACTCATCTGTAATGATGTTGATCAATACAGGGAGCAAAGGGCTAATTGTTTAATCGATGCGTTGGAACCCCGTTACGGTGTTGTAGTGGATAGGATGCAATCTGTGACGACGTTCTTATAGCCTACGCATTTTTTTTATACATTTGCAACAACTTTGTATTTTAGTCATACTAAAAACACAGTTGTATGGATTTGTAGCACAAGCGGCTATGAACCTTTTTTTTCATACAATAATTCGGGTTGGGCTGACATTTCATTTTTGAATATTTAACAGCAACGGAGATTCGCTGCAGCCAATCAGAGGATGATTTGACTTCGACGTCACCGCGTCCAACAAGTTCTGCTTTTCGCGTCGAAACAGAAAATCAAACGTCAAACAATTCCAACGGTACGACGCCAATTGGGTTTACAGAACGTACGTCCAAATGAGTATTCCCCCCAAAACTAGACCTGCGTGTTGACCCACGAGGAGCCCGGAGGGGCGAACCGACCCCTCGGGTAGAGGAGGTGGGCGGGGCCTACGCCTCCAGCTGCGCTGCCATTGGTTCCGACGGTGTAAACATTCACGTTTAAATGCCTGTCGGTGGCACCAATTCACAAAGACCTGCGAACGCTGAACGCTCCGTAGCTGGTATTTGCCCCGAGCGTTATTTTGTCGTCTAACACAGTGCTTTTATAAGCAATAATACACATCTTATTTTTACCACTTTTGCCTTCTGTTTGATTGGATTCCAGCTCAAGATGGTGACCAAGAGGATCCGCTCGGAGTACATGAAGAAATTCAAAGATCCCAAATGGGAGACCTACTCTAAGTGTTATGAGGAGATGCTGAAGTACCGGCTGACCCGCAGGCTGCTGGAGCACACACACAACCCCTGGTTCTGGAGTGGGCCCGACAGTGACACCGACTCGGCGGAAACAAGTCCCCCACCTCCTCCCAGTAAGAACCAGGTCAGGCCTGAGACCAGCAGAGGCAGGGTGGAGGTGGAGGTGGAGGTGGAGGAGTGTGAGGGGGCGAGGCTGGATCGACGGCGGGAGCAGCCGAGCAGAGCCAACGGGACTGTGCCCAGGCTTTCCCTTCCCAAGGAGGAGCACGTGTCTGCAGTCCATGGTAAAACCAAAAAGAAGAGCTGCTCTACGTGTGATTTAAGGGCTGTGTAAAAAATGTTTGTACGCTTCTCTTCTGTAACAAATGGCATTCAACCCTCTCAGGCTCACAGCTTGAATGCGCCGGAGAGACAGAAGTAGCAGAGGAGGAGAGAGGGGAGCAGACTCACTGTCAAGACCGAGGTAATTCAGAATCACAGATGCTTTATTGCCAGGTACGTTACACATACTTTGAATTTGGTGCATCATTTAGTCTAAAAGTGTATAACACTGTCCTTAAATAGTCTGCATTCATCGGTGCCTTACGAATATGCATAAGTCTGAGGTGGAGTCAAAATCACAGTTGACATGAGAGAGAGTAGAAAACAGAAGTGATGAGGAGGGCGAAGACCAAGAGGCCGACTTGAAATGAACAGCAGAATCGTGGTGCCAAATGACTAAAGCTCTGAGTTTACTCTATTCTACATTCTCAAATAGTTTTGGTGTCACAACAATTTGGACTGGATAAGTCCTAATTTAAGCTTCATTTTTTTGAGTGATGTATAAGCTTTTTGTGGGAACAACTATTCAAAACAACATGTTAAATATAGACAACCCTTCGTTCAGCACCTGGAACCAACCAGCAAGAAAAACACCAAGAGGGACACCTAGTGCATGACAGCAGGATGGTCATCACAGCTGATAAAGCCATAATTCTTGGGATTTATTACAAACCTATGAAAGGTCATGGGAAATAATGTGTTCCTAAACCAATTTTTCTTTTCTAACTGTAGGAACAGACGGCGGAGGAATCAGACCACAGCAGACCAAACCCTCCAAATCCTCAAAGCACACGAGGCGCTTCCGGCGGGTCCGGCCGGCACCGACGCGGCAGCCCACGGACGACACCAAGGACGGCAGGCATCCGTTTGCTCTCTACGGTTCAGGGGAGAAGGACGCAGACATGGCAAGCAGGAAGACGCACAACGTAGGCCCTGCCGCTTCTACCAACGAGGTGATCTTTGTTAGTGTCCGATGTCATGCACCAACCGCTGTGTCAAGTTCCTTGTATGTCCGACACACGCAATAAATGTTCCTGATTCCTGATTTGTTTCTGTGGATCTACATGGGACCAGCTGTGATGTGACTGAGCACAGTTTTCTTTTTCATGTCCCCCACCTCTCTCTCGCCTCCTCCCCCATCAGATCCACAAGTCGGCTCTTCGCGCCAAGATCAGGCGGGAGGTGGAGCGTCAGATGCAGACCCAGACGACTGAGCGCCAGAGAGCCAAGTCTGCCGATACGGACAAGACCGGCAAGGTGGTTCAAGCAGAGTTCAACCCCTGGGTCACTGAGTACATGCGCAGCTTCTCTGCTCGCTCACGATAGGACACAGACGCGCATACATCTACACACTCTAAATGATAACCTCAGGTTGGTTATGGATATAGTTTCCATAATAAAAGGCACTATTGCCTACCTCTTCTAAACTTTAAACACCAGTACCTGTAGACCAGAGCACGGAGTGGGTTGATTCATACAGAGGCTACGAAATTCATCATTCAAATGAACAAAACTCATTCATTGTGTTGCTTATTTCAGATGTGTACTGTCATGTTTCTACATTAATCAATTTTAATGTGTACATACAACAAGAGCCATTTGACAAGAGACTTGTGTTAGATTAGACGATTTTAAACTATACTTCCTGGATTTGTCAATTGAGTACAGATACTTTGAGTGAAATGAAGAGTTTAAAATGTGTTTACAGCCATACTTTGATGCATTCCCTACAAAATGCATCCACGTCTTTTATTCAGGGATACCAACCCACAGTGGACTAACGCAGGAGTAATGAACGCACCAGGCGGTATGTCTGAATAGATCAAACCACGTTCTTAAAAAACACTTCTGAAATCCAATGTGCAACCGCAAACATGAAGACTGTACACGTACACTTGCATACACATATTGACAAAACCAAACGCACCATCAAGACGTTTTACGTCTTTTGATGTTCTCATCACTTGGCGCTGTGACATCCGTCCTGTAGATTTCATGTTTTTTTTGTAGAAGTTCATTGATTAATCTCCACTTGGTCAAACTCACTCGGTGTAACGTCACAGTTCTGTGGCACATTTTTCTGTCACCTTTTGACATGATTGACAGGTGAGAGTCACAGGAGGGCGTGAAAGAAGATTATTTACTTTTTTTTAAATGTTTAAAAAAATTCAAAACATTACAATTATATCAATCAGTTGTTGAGGCCAAATATGTGTATTGTTACTGTTACTCTAAATATGCTTTACAACCAAATGTGGAACCATAACAACGGTGGACGCTAAGGTGACTAAATGTGCACATGTTCATACTGCTGATTTTCTGTTTATTTTTTAAAGCAGTGCACCACAGCACTTTGGTAATTAGTCACCTTCTTGTTATTAATGTAGATGCCGAACTCCTATTTGCCCGTTTGGCTTTTCATGTGATTTGCTGATTTGAATCAATGTAGTAGTTTGTGTGTAAAATCCCCAAAAAGTAATTGGTACCTGCATAAGAAAACAAGAATTGACGATCCTTTGTATAATGGATTTGGTCTTTTCCTCGTGCAAACATTTAGATTAGATCCCTCTATTTTATGTTGATGAAAAATGAAAAGTGCCGTGTTCTATAAAAGAAAAGAATACGTTTTTGCCCTCATATTACATAATATGGATTGAAGTTATTAATGTGAATATTGTGCAGAAGAAAAGTACGGACATTTAATATCCTCTTTGAAATGTTTTGTTTAGTATTGCCATGACTGTTCTTTAATTATTTAGCTTATCAGTTTTATGAGTCCTATAATATAGATTAAACAAAACGTGAAATAATGTGCAATATGATAGTTTGAATCATTTTTGTTTTGTGTATGTTGTGAACTCTGAACAAAACCAACTTTTCTTTTCTAATAAATCAGATACTTTTAAACTAAGATCATAATATTAAATTACCTGATTGTCACATTCTTTTCTTGATTATGTAGAGCAGAGATCCATCAAGCCCAAATGTTACTTTAAAAAGGGACATTGTCATCACATATGATCCTCTTACTCAAGAAATGAAATCAGGGAAGGATGAGATTTTATAATCAATGAGGAATCAGAAGAACTTTTGTTTCACCTTTTGACAAAATCCACAATGTCGACTGTGGTTGTAGGGAAAAGCTACTGGTCCTCACATATTTAATTTACGACACGAGGACCGTAACAATTACAGAATTGTGTATCTTACACGTTAACATTTTCATGTTTTAGGCTTCACATAGACGTGTATGTATTTTATTTGTTTTGGAACAAAAGACTGTCTTGCAAAGAATTTCAATGAATCAATTTTCTACATCTGTTAATCTCCAAACATTTGTACATATTATTCAGAAAATTTGAGATTACATTTCATCAAAGAAAAAACATCAATTACGCAATGGACTACCAACAAAAATGTGTATTAAAAGAAAATAAATTGATTTTCAAAGACACTGCTGTATTTGTTGTATTTTTTATTTTAAAAACATAGGCTTTTATTATACACAATAAATTAAAAATCCATGATATTCATAATGAAAAGAAAACAAAAACAAAAATTAACATAAATAGGCCAAGAAGTTGATGACAAACATGAGACGGCAACCTGACGAACAGCAGCCAAAGCCACTGCCAGATTCATTCTAATCTTAAATATTCTTCAAGTGTGCTTGTTTAAAGCATAATTGTCAAGGGTCTAACATTTTATAAATATTAGAAACAAATGTGTTGTTGTAATGTTTAAACACACCTAGTTGAATTGTTTTGAGAGCTTAATGTGGCCGAACAGAACATCAAGGATCTTTGGAGACAAATAACAATCAAAACACACATCAGATGGTTTCCTACTATTGCTAAAACTTAAAATGCATTCGGTTAGTGTTAATCCACAGCTGGCAGCGAGGCATTCATGTACAACAGGCATCATTTATGAATTACAGGGATCAGTCATTACTGGAAAAGAGTCACACAAGTCCTTCGAATGAATGTTGAATGCTGGACATGTCTCTGTAACTTAACATGTCTCTGTAACTTAACATGTCTCTGTAACTTAAAAGATGACATGTCACACTTGATTGCTCATGGTATTTCCGTACATATATTTTGTTTAATCTATGTGCTTGACAATGATAAAACAACATTTACCCATGTAAACATAAGTCCACAATCAACATAATTGGTGCAAACAGTACTGCCCAGTAATACTGCTTACACGTTGCCAGTGTATTGTGGCGTAACATAATATTAACACAGTGGAGCATAAAACCAATGCTGGATATGACATCTACTTTAATAAACATATAATATCTCTTCATAATGAAATACTCTGATATTCTGTTTGAGAAAACATGCGTCAGTCTCAATATACAGAAAGAGTGTACAAGATGCTGCAGAGGAGACGGAGTGGGAAAGAAAGGATGCGGGGAGTGCGAAATGTATTCAGGGGACGGTTTGTGGCGTGTTAGAAACAGGTAATCAGATCAGTGGAGCAGCAAAGAGAAGTGTCATAGTAGGGGAGGGTTTCAGATACGCATGTGGATAAAGGAATTGTCGTATCATTTCCAAAGAGTTCTGTGAGAAAATTGATACCTAATGTCAATGTGTAAGTATTAATCTGGGGACAGGAGTTAAAGAAGAGGACCGGCTAGATCCAAAATCATCAAATCCCCAGTCTGATGACTTATGATGTCTTATTTACACCGTCTTTTTTTCACTTAATCAAAAATGTACTGCGCTGTGTAGGATTTAGTTGGATCCAGCTTTGAGCGACCAAACCGTGAAAATATAAAGACGACTTATTTTCTCAGCCTATAAATCCTCCTAATCACACTGGTCGTGTTAGTATTGAAGATGGAATGCATAAGGGAACATTGACAGTGGATAAAACTAAGCAGGGAAGTCACCAGGTGTGACAACCGATAAGTAGAAAGGTGGGGGAGAAAAGGTACGCACTCGTCAGTAATGCACATCCCGATTGGTAGACTAAGAATGGTCTGATCCAATAGTGCAGCAGAATGCTGAGCAGGGGGGTGAGGTGAGGGAGTGGGAGTGTGGGGGGGTTTCTGGTTACCTTGGAGATGCTCAGATTTTTGAAGGGGGCTAGGAGGCGGAGCCAGGACAACAAAAGCTCTGGAGATTGGTGTGAACGGTCAAAGGTCAGAGAGGAGTAAGCAACTTGAAGTCTAGGTCCCCCCCTCCCCGATGGCTGTTCTTCTCCTGGTCTTCACAAACACACTGATCAACGCACAAAGAGAGAATCAGAAAACAAAATAATCTAGCTGCGGGCAGCCATGTTGGGGGACTCAACACGGTTGCATCATCAACAATTTCGACTCATGAGCACCTTTTATTGCTCATTATTGGGGTAAGATTCAATACCATCATCTTATGTAACGCACACACAGTCCAACATCACGGCCCTTTCACCTCGTCTGTGCGCCTTACTGAGCGCGTCCACTAGCAGCCACACTCCTGGGTGCCCTGTGGCTGAGCACGGCGAGGAGAGCGAAGCTGTCGTAACGCAGCGTCGCCATACTGGATCCCTGAACCCATCCTCTCTGGATCCAGCTCCCCTGGAAGTCAGAGACAACGTGTGTGAGGACAGAGACAGAGACGCGAGATCCCCACCGGCTCTGAATAAATTGGCTTGATTAGTTATTATATATGCTTTGATTTTTCTTGTATTCTCTATGAGGACTGACACAGTGCGGCGTCTGGAGTCATATGTAAGCCTGTCTGGATGATCCTTGGTGGATAAAAAGGGGATTTGGAGTCAGGGGTTATGGTTATACGGTGAGGGTCACAGCTCGTACCTGACTCGATCTTGTTGAGGATTTTCCGAGCGCACTGTACAAAGGCCTCTTCAACGTTCTCTCCTGTGAGAGCGCTGGTCTCCAGGAACATTAGCTCTGATGTGCACACACACACACACACACACACACACACACACACACACACACACACACACACACACACACACACACACACAGCAGTTCAATACATTTACTTTAAGCAGCATAATAATGCTGTAAATAAATTGCAAAAACTCCTGACTGCGTGCCAAAAAGAAATTACAATAATTCCACCAAACTGAATACGGTTATCATCTGGAGCTTCCCAGAGATTTTGAGAGGTACAATCAGAGCGTCGCTATATCCCGAATTGCTGAGCCTACCGTTCTCCTGAGCGAAGCGTGAAGCCTCCAGGAACGTGACCTCTCTGTCCACGTCCAGGTCCTTCTTGTTTCCACAAAGGATGATGACGATGTTCTGACTGGCCAGCATCCTGGCATCACTCAGCCATGTGGTCAGAGCGTTGTAGGTCTCTCGACTGCAGCGCACAGATACAGGAGGGTTACAGGGGGGGTGGGGGGGAGGGTAACTGAACACGACGTGATCTGAAATCATGTGCCGATTGGCTATGCTGGTTTACCTCGTGATATCATAAACCAGCAAGGCTCCTGCTGCTCCTCTGTAGTAACTCCTAGTCACAGACCTTGACAACACACACACACACAAACAACGTGAGCATGTGGTCCAATAATATGACAATGTACACGCGGACCAAAAGGCCTGAGGGACAAGTGGTTTCCAAAACTCTTATTTTTACATTCAAGGACTTCTCTTTGTGCAGACAAATGAATGAGTCAGTCTAACCATCAGTTTCCTTAGGAAGCACAATCAACTTCACGTCAAACCGATTTTCAAGCAGATATTTTTCGCGTCAGAGTAGCGAGTAGAGTAGAGAGCATGGCTCTCTTAAAGCGATTAGTACAATGCAATGCTGTACATTTAAGTAATTACTTAAGACCTTCTACCGTCAGCAAAACATGCATCGGTTACCTATGTCTTTCCCCGGAGTAGACAAGTGAGTTAACATTGGATCTAAACAGTGTGTATGTTGTTGAAAAGAAATTACGTATGTGCAGAGGGTTCAGAATGTGTGAAAGAAGTGTGTAAGGTGAATACAATATGTACATGTATATATGCATGTATCATCTGTTTTTTCCCTACCTGAACCTTTCTTGTCCTGCAGTGTCCCAAATCTGCAGTTTGACCATTTTGTTGACAACATTGATGATCTTGGAGCCAAACTCTACTCCAATTGTGTGATTGGATTCATCCTTAACTGGAAAACAGAATAAAATGGGGTTTATTATTAGATGTACGGCTCATCATTTTCCGGTGGTAATTGCTAAACGCTATAGTAATGCACTTACATTAGGAGTCAAAGCAACTGTCTGTTAACAGTAAATAATGACAAGCATATTGTATCTTTCTGACTTACATCTCTTCTCTATGAACTGGTGCAGCAGACAGGACTTGCCCGTTCCAGCATTCCCAATCACCAGGAATTTAAACAGGAAATCTGAAGAGAGAAATCACATAAATGATTGGGTCTCTATCCAACACGATGTCTGTTTTGATTGTCATACCTAGTAACACAGCTGGGCCATTAACATCAGACAACAACACAGTTATATTGATATGAACTCAAACGTGCCATAGGGTTTGGACAGAAATGTCAAAAATATGCCTTTGATAATGTAGAAACAGTGTCACTCTTATTTGTTTGCAAGAGACAATTGGTTAGTTACTTTTAACTGCAGGATATATATATATATATATATATATATATATATATATATATATATATATATATATATGTTGACATCACTATTGCACAATTCATAGCGGTATACAATCACACACTGCTGTGCCTTACTCTCGCTTGACTCTCACATAATGATTCAACGTGTCATTATCGTTGAAGGTGATGGGACTGTGCACAGTTCCTAAACTCTGGATCATCTTAACGTAAAATATTGAATCTATGACAACAATCCAAAATATTGCGTGGATCGAATATGCCCTACATCTCTTGCATACTCGACGTTATTACAAAACACAGATCTCAGTCTCCTCTTCATACACGCTCCATCATCCGCAGCTCGCTCCCCCGCTCTCAGATTTGATCCGTGCACCCACAGCGGACTCTCCCCGCTATTACTTTCGCTGACATCGGTTGTTTTCCGTAAGGCCGGCAGCCTTCCGTTAGCCTGCCCGCTATCTGTTTACGGTGAGAGAGAGGAAGCTCTCTCGGCGCACCTGTCTCGTGGCTTCGCCGTGGTTACGCGACAATGTGAACGGCCGCCGCTCGTCAGAACAGCCTCCTTACCGTATGACTCCGACATCGCCGTGTGGCGTTTGGACCGCGAAGGGGAAGGGGATTAAAAATACGAGTTGACAAGATGGATAGTAGCTCGCCAAGTTAAAGCAAATATTCCTGTTGATGATTTCCGCAGATTCCAGCTGATTTTCCCTCCGACTTCCCGTACGTGGTCCGCTTATTTTTCAAAATAAAAGCCTATCAGAGGAGCTCGGCAGCGGTGCAGCTAACGGTGTTTTGAGACTTTTACTTATTTAAATACCATTAAGAATCGTCGAAAGTGTGTTTTAGGCATTGTCTTAAACGCAACACGCATGCCAACAAAGCACGTAATTATTGTATGTAGAATTGAGACACCACCTACACTCCTGCCCAGAAGGCGGCGGTTATGTGCATTGGCCAACGACCGCATATTCTCTCGAGAAGAAGAAGAGTGGCTAGTGGGCTAGCCTAGCTGCAGGCTTTATTTAGGAAAATATGGCTGCTGTGCTTCCCACCAGACCCCCCTGCGACAGTAACCCTGCTACACCTGGAGCACAGTCCTCAAAGGTAACATTCAGACTCTGTAAACAATTATTATTGAATTATTATTGAGGTTCGGGAGCTCCACACCGTGTCTTTCGCAGCTAACGGCTAGTTGGTTAGCCAACGGCTACTTGAGTCCACGGATGGCGACTCCATACAAGTAGCCACATATAACTATCTTCATTCCTCCGTGAACAACGAATACTACCGACATGACCTAAACCTCCAAAATTAAACACAATTTACTGTTGTTATTTTTTTATATCTTCGGAGCAAAAAACTATCAAGTATAAAATGCACACTTTGTCAATGAAATTATGCTATTTTTCTGATAAGTGTTACAACGGTCCAAAAATGTCAAGATTAACCTGTGTATTATTTATAGTTGAACATCTTATATTCAGTCCAATTTTAACACCAAGTGTCTTTAATAGACTAGTGTGATCGCACCCAGATTTATGAAGTAACGTTACTTTCAAGCGACTGCTGTCTAAGTTATATTTGTTCAACTGTGACAAACTTCAGCAACCCTGTGTTTTATTGCTGTGAATTGTCTGGATGCTAATTACTGAGCAATCAAGGGTGTGCTTCAGCAGGCTGTAGACCAAAGCATAAGAAAGATAGATAGGTGGAAAGATACTTCATCCCCAGGGGAAAGTAAACATAAAGCTATTCAGCATGAACAATTAAAATTTCTCAATACATATAATAAAATAACAGAACAACATATTACATTTTAGAAAATTAAATGATAAAGAAAATACACAAAGGGCAAAGTATACACAGTGTGCATATAAAGGTATTGAACATGAACCAAGTTTCTGTTCGAGTCAGGAGGAAGAGCACCATTAACATTATCCTTGCTTTATTTATCCAATTTCTAAATGAAGAGACATGGTCTGTGGATTTTCCCAACATCACATACTTGTATTGTTAAATTTCCAAGTAAACAATTGTGTTTTACGTGTCTTTTCTAGGAGGATGTGATGGAAGAAGAGTCCAATGATGGCAGCCAGCCTCCCAAAAGAAGGAGAATGGGTTCAGGAGACAGCTCTCGAAGCTTTGACACGTTCAGTCAAGACCTTGGGTAGGTTGGCCTAACACTTTGCATGGAGCAATAAATTGTTATTGCACGACAACTTAAAGACTGCCAATGTTTCATTGTAACTATCAAATGATCCTCAACCTGATCTCTCTCAACCGGCCTTCCAGCCCGACATACTTCCCAGCAGAGAACCTCACCGAGTACAAGTGGCCTGCAGATGACACGGGGGAGTATTACATGCTGCAGGAGCAGGTCAGCGAGTATCTGGGAGTCACATCCTTCAAGAGGAAGTACCCTGGTAAGACTGAAGTTAAAATATATGTATTATTGATTTGCTGAACACATTCATTTAGAAATAAGACTGGCTTCAGTACTTGTACGTGCATTGTTGACACACTGATGACAATGACACTATTTATACTCGTGTTCTGACCAGATGAAGACTGAAGCTGTCCCCCCTAGTGATGTTATTTATTTGTCACTCTGTAGATATGGAGAGAAGAGACTTGTCTCACAAAGAGAAGCTCTACCTGCGTGAACAGAATGTCATTACTGAAACACAGTGCACTCTGGGTAGGAACCACAACTAACACTCTCTGATCAGCTCGAATGGTTTGACTACAAATGGTCTGGTACCTCGATGCAGTCCAAGTGGGTTTGTCAGTGCATCTTGTTCTTTCTCTTTAGGTCTGACGGCTCTGCGGAGTGACGAGGTGATAGATCTGATGATCAAGGAGTATCCCGCCAAACACGCTGAGTATTCGGTCATACTGCAGGAGAGAGAGCGGCAGAGAATAGCTAAAGAGTATTCTGTAAGTATGTAAGCTCAAAGAATACAACAAGGCTGATGATTTGATTTTCCAGTAATGTGTTTCATGCTAGTCCTCCAAATGCATGTGTGATCAAATTGCTTAAGGTCTTTGTCTGTTTTTTGTAGCAAATGCAGCAGCAGAACTCTCAGAAAGTGGAGGCCAGCAAGGTTCCTGAGTACATTAAGAAGGCGGCTAAGAAAGCTGCAGAGTTCAATATTAACTTTAACCGGGAGCGGATGGAAGAGAGGCGAGCCTACTTTGACCTACAGACACATGTAAGTCTGTCCTAGAAAAACGATCCTTTGAAAGGCTGCGATTTGATTGGTTGTAGGTATAAAAGATAAAGATGTTATAAAAAAACAAGCCATATTTTGGTGAAGAAATACAGCCTCATGTCTGCTTAAATCAGAAAGCCGGACAGTAAGGCTATCCTGGATTTATTTACACCCTGTGAACTTTTTTGGGGAGACAGTGATTTCTGTGACTTTAGCTATGTCAGACCGCAAGTTTACACAGATAGCGTTTTGTGTATTTCCTCAGATCATCCAGGTGCCCCAGGGCAGGTTCAAGGTGCTGGCTCCAGAGCTGACAAAGAGTGGGCCTTACCCTGTGGCTCTCATACCAGGACAGTTCCAAGACTACTACAAAAGGTTTATACTTTTCCCCCCACGATTCACCTTTTGTATCCAAAATAACAAACCCAATATTTGTTGTCTGGGTAAAACTGCATAGACTCTGAGCCTGTACTAACTATATCTGTGCTGGCTGTTTTGCCCTGATGCAACATTATGTTGTGCCTGTTAGGTACTCTCCCAATGAGCTACGATACTTGCCCATAAACACGGCTCTGTTTGAGCCTCCGCTGGATCCAGAGCTGCCCGCGCTGGACTCCGAACCAGACTCTGATGATCAAGAGGATGGAAAGGCCGACAAAAAGAACAAGAACTCATCTGTAAGACATTCGACATTGTACTATTGTAACTACTCTAGTAGCACATGTGGGTCAGATCATACATCCTTTGTAGAGTAGTGCTACAGATGCTTATTGGCAGACGTCTGCATTGCACTTAGGCAAGCATGCAAGATTCCACGTCCCACATCAGTGATTTACCTCTGCATATCTTGACTGATGTCTGCATTGACACGCATTGTTTTACAATGCTCTGACGCCACTTGTCATTCACTCTTCCTCCTTCCTCCTCTATTTCTCTACAGGACAGTTCTTCGGGAAACACGTCAGACGTCGAGAGCCAAGAGGGAGGAGGGAAACCAGGGAACAAGTCCAAGGCCAAAGACAGGACATCCACAGCGGCAAAAGACGGCGGCCAGCGCCATTCTGCCTCCCACAAAACCCCACCAGGGTACAAGGTAGAAGACAAAAGCACCTGAATTCTTCTCCAACAACAGCAGCAGCAGCACTTTTCTACCCCCTTCTCCTCTTTCTACTACTACAACTCCATTCATCCCGCCATCCCTCCCTCGCTTTCTTTACTCTGTTCTCTGACTCCTATCGTTGGTCCAGCTTGGCCGACCTGATACACACACACACACACACACACACTTACATACAGAGACAGAGTCACACTTTGTAGGTCCTTTCTCCAGTTTCTGTCCTCATGGATCCCCACTCACTCTCTCTTTGTCCCAGACTAAGCAATAAGAACAATTTAAAGGAACAGTTTACTTGTTTCTTTTTCACTGCACTTTCACTTTTGGAGGTTTCCAGTGTAGACAAAATTAACTTTAAAGGTTTTTCATTTTGAATGTCTTCAATATGTCCTCACTTGTCAAAAAAATATACTTTCAAGACGAGTAAGTGGATGTTTTGGCTGCTAGTTTTATTTTTGAAAGAAAAGTCTTGTTACTCTGACATAGAAAATATAAACCACATTACATTTGTGGTTGTGTTAACACTAGCCAATTTTATAATTTATATAAGTATAGAAGGCACTTAACCCTAATTTTTAAGTGTTTATTGTTATTATATGCTTCGTATATACACCATGTGATATACTGTTTCTGTTAAAACGTATCACCGCTGTTTGACGTGAGGTTTTTCTCGTCCATATAATGTCATCTTGACCTTGTTCACACTGTAGCTGAGCTGAGCTAGAAGTAGTCCGTATGATGTCGGTCTGGGTTTTGACTCTGCTGGCCCCCCCCCACTACATCAGCACACCTCTGGCTAATACCAGCCATGGCACGTCCTTGGTACTCATTGGATTTAGTCAAAAGGACTGTAGTTGGGGAATGATTTCATTGTCCCACATGTTCTCTGTCCCACCTTTTACATTTGGTTCATTTTGGTAATCTCAACCCGGAAGAAGACAACTCCTAAAAGATGCTTGTATATTACTGTTAATGAGAGTATGACGGTCCAGTTGAGTTCAGCTCGGCTTCGTGGTGTGGGCATGGTCCTTTTTTATAGTGTCTGTTACCAGTTTCAGTGTGTTCAAAGTTTGACTTAACTTTGACTTGGCCCCACGTTGTCAGATCCTTTTGCTTAAGCTTTTAAGCTTGCATACATGGCATGTTGGTAGCCAGAATTCACTAGAATTGGTCAGTGAAATAATGTCCCTGTACTGTTTCTGTAATGAGCACGCTAGGACCTAGAGGTGTAATTACCATCCGGCATTTCTATGTTGAGAATATGCCGTACGTACCGTATATACAGGAATAAAAAGTCATTCTGAACAACACATAAATTAGACTAATAGCCTCCACAGCAGTATTATGTTCAGAATGTACAAATGTGATACATGTTGCATGTTAACATGTCATGTTAATGTTGTTCAAGGAAATTGATCACTCTGAAAGCTGTGGCTCTACAGTCTTTACGTAGCTTACACATAGTGCAGACGTGTTGGAGAAAAAAATGTGTTACTCAGCTGATAAGCGTGATTGAGAATGTGCAGTGCTGGTTTGATTCTTAGGAGCTCAGAATATATTTTTACTCTGTCAGACACATTGAAGGTTGAGTAGAGTCCGCTCTCATTAAATGAAGGCCGGGCATTTGGGTTGTGAGGCCCAGCTAACTGGTTAGTATTCACTCATCCCTTATTTATCTCAAAAGTACAAGCGATGTGATCTGTAAAGATCCCGCTTAGTTGTTATTCTTTGTGCCTCTGTTTCTAAATGATACGTAATGTTAAGAGCTATTTGGCTCCATTTAAAAACCTACCAGATCATATAAAGAAACATGCCTGAAAGTGAGTTTTTTTTCTTCTTTCTTATGTGCATAAAGTGCAATATGTTATGTGTTTACCAAATTCAGTTAATTTAGAATAAAACTAGATTCAACCTCATGAACTGCTCCTGGTCTTATTCTGTGGGGATGTTTCCACTGAGGAAATGTTTTGACTGTGCAGGCATCAAGCCTCAGTGGAAGCACGCCGCGTTGGCTGGACACTGCTTGTGATGTAAGCATTCGACGTGGCCACTAATCGCTTTTTACAGTTATTAAGAGTCAGCTCACAATAGAAAAAGGTGGCAACCTTTTCCCTACAGTTTTCAGTGAGGCCTAATTTTAAATTAGACATATTTATGAGACTCTGTATTTGCATATTCATAGTAAGCATGTATGAAAGTCTTCACAGCTCTTGTTTTCTTATTCCCCTCCCTTGCTGCTGCCTGTCGTTTAGTTTAGTTCTCTGCTTTGTTATTTTGCCTTGAAATTTCCTATTTTCCTAATCATGTCCTGTTATTGACCCCTAGTTTTGTACTTCTGTCTGTTTAGTGTGACCTTTTAACTTACTGTGAGGGGACAATTAAATGAAGGATGTTACTATATTATGGGTTCTGAAGCATGGACTGTTAACTTAATAAGTGACTATAAAGCTAATTTCAGAGTAACGATTTGGTTGTTTGTTACACGTTTCTCGGTTACCTCTGTGACATCCTGATTTAAATGTTCCCTAAGCCTCCTTATCTTTCTACTTTTACCCTGTTAAACTAAAAAGTTCTGTTGCGTCGACTGCAAGTGCTAGATTTGTTTTTGAATTCAGTCTGCTATCAAAAGCCATCACTTACTACAGTGAAACTAAATGTGCCGTAGATTACAGACGTAACATGCATGCAAGAGGAGGTGTTGGAAAACATATACCTTTCTTGTGTTAGTACCTTGAAAATATTTTACTGCCCTTACTGCCCTGGTACTTAAGCCTTTTGCAGTTTATTGTGAATATTGTTCACAAATAGTTCTCTAAGGCCCAGTAAACAGGGCTGTTCTTTGTCCAGAACCATCAAAGAAACATTAAATTGCATTTAATCCTTAGTCGGATCGCAGCTTTGATATCATGTGATGCAATTTGTGTATAAAGTTATCATGTCGTGTGCCCCCAAATGTAGGACAAGCCTTTGCTAAAACGATTAAAAAACGCTCCTTTTGGGTTTCTTCCTCCAGCTTTTAAACATTTGTTGAACTAATATATTGTGACTACAAGATGCACGTTTTTTATAGCGTTATTCTGCCCTTGCAGCCTAAGGTCATTCCCAATGCTATATGTGGCATTTGCCAGAAGGGCAAAGAGGCCAACAAGAGGGGCCGGCCGGAGGCCCTCATTCACTGCTCCCAATGTGATAACAGCGGTAAGTTAACTCTGTTCTTCATAAAGGACGGTTTTCATTACAGCTTCAGCAAAAAGTGAAATGTGTTATAATAAGAAGGATGTTGCCTAGAATAAACTGATTGCATTAACATGAGCAGTAATCTTAAATATATTGTCCCTTTGACTGTTTAACATGGGGAGATTTACAGGCAGTTATGACAACATGGAGAAAAATATTATTCATGGGTATTGTTTATTTTTTTTATGGATATCTATAACTGAAATACAGACAAGCTTATGTGGCAATAGATGTAGATTCCGGTTGCTTTCTGTTTTTCTATTTAAGGGTGGCATCTTTCTAAATGTGTTTAAGTCATCTTAATCACTAAGACTGTGTATTCACATGTCTGGAATTATCTGTTTGGTCGGATTGGACTCTTTATGTATGTCTATGGGCATGCACTCTATATTTATTAGTGTGTGTGTTTGTTTGCGTCTGCGCATGTGCCTCCGTGTCGGCACACTTTAGGCCATCCGTCCTGCTTGGACATGAGCAAGGAGCTGGTGGGTGTGATCCAGACGTACCGATGGCAGTGCATGGAGTGCAAGACGTGCATCGTGTGCCAGCAGCCCCACCATGAGGACGAGATGATGTTCTGTGACAAATGTGACCGAGGGTACCACACCTTCTGCGTGGGCATGGACTCCATACCTACTGGTGAGTTCAACTACAGTCATTGGCATTTTCTCTCTGTGAACCGGACAGTAAACATAAGAGAAGATCCAAATTCTACACACAATATTACTGCCATTCACTTATTTTTGTTATTTAATGTGGGTGTTCCTTTTTTTGTTTTCCCTTGATCTTCATAAATGAATTCTTTCTGTCTCCTCAGGCCTTTGGGTATGTGAGGTTTGTGAGAAGGATTGCCCCACGCCCAAGAAGAAGGGAGGAGCAAAAACACCCAAGAAGTCCAAATCCGCTCAAAAATGATCAACAGCATCATTGAAGACAATACCGTGACCAACTTTTACACAAATGCACACGGCATTCGTTCAAAGATTTGAAGAAGTTAACTGTAATTCAAAAATAAATAGAAAAGTGTATCCCTCCTACCAAACACCATCAATACAAACACAGATACACGGGTTAACACTCGAGGGAACCTGTTTCTCTCTGAGAGCTTCGATGACATCTGTAAGGCAGGTGGATCATTTGAATCACAAGCAGTTAAACTGAATTTCTGTACTTGCCTGACATAATCCAGATTATGTTGAAATGGTGAAACGGTGACATTTTCTCTATACATTATTTTAAAAGACCAATTTGAATTCAAATCCATCCAAATGTGCTGCATAAATACTGTGATCCGCTAACCACTAATACCACCAGTGCATTCCTACTTTTTTAATCTTATAGTTTCTGTCTCACAACAGTTGAGAGAATGGTGCTTTTGACCCAGTATGATTGGGGAAAAAAACAAAACAAGACCTCAGTTACCTTCAAAACAACATGTTTGTATGGCTTTGTATTTTTAGTACTTTAAATAAACATGTATTTAATTAGGCAGGCCAGTAAAGAGCAAGCTTATTTAAATTAAGTCTCACAATGATGACACGATTCTGTATAATGAAATGGAGCCTCTTGGCTGAGGCAGGTATTTATTTGTCAGTTATTACTAAAAGATGTTGTCAGACTTAACAGCTATTCATTTTATTGTTAACCATCCACTATTAATGAATATACACAAATATAACCACTTAAAGTAATCTAATGGAAATGTAACATCCACCAGCTACAATTAGATCATGTCTATTTTTGTGTTTAGTTTGAATGATTAAATTCCTTTTTAAAATATTTTGTAATGTCTCTCCAGTAAGCAGTTTAAGACATATGTGTAGGTAATAATGTCGTAGTCACTGAATTGTTTGTGTATTTTATTTTTTTTATAAATAAAACATACTTGTAAAATACTGTTCGTCCCACATTTATTGTTTAATAATTCAAATTGAAGCAAAAATAATTTTTGATAAAGGACCGATGAATAAAAAATACTTAAATTCATTTCATTCTTACATTGTTTTCATTCATCAATCATTTAATACCTGTAATGCTCCTGAGCAAAATTTAAATGAATATAATTGTTATTGTAGATCTTGTTTTTAGTTTTTAACACCTACCAGGGTTTGGGTGTTATTCAGTTACAATACAATTACATAATTACAGAATAATTGTTTTCCCTTTTTTTTCAAGTTCATTTTTGGCCAAACATGAGTCCACATGAGTCCCCTGCTGTACACTGACCAGCCTGCGGGGGCGCGCACTCCCAGATTACTTCTGAACACTGTTTCGTGACCGTAGAAGAAGAGGCTGCCATATTGCAGTGATACAGCGACTTTACGCGACTAGAACCCCGTTGGCTTCCTGCAACAAAAATGCTTTCTTCTAATGCGTTTGTGGACCCTGGGAAGATGAAAGACTATCACTATACCGGTCCAGTAGAGCACCGGTTCTCCCCTTACTCCTTCAACGGAGGGTGAGTGTAAACTTTAAACCCTTAGCTGGTTTACCCGCTAGCTAACGTTTACATCCAAATGAGTTATGCTAACTAGCCAACCGGCTAAGCAGACGACGTAAAACTAACTCAAAGGTTAAGTTTAAGTTGGAGAAAACTACCCAAACAGAGCAGACTTTGATTGTTGTGGAATAAAGTATCCGCACGTTAACTCTTAATTACAAAGGGAAAGATAAACGGACACTACAGTTTCAGTTTCGAAACGGTAGCTTAGCGTCTGTTAGCAAGTGTGTGGGGAAACATAATGGATATTTCTATATTTTAATTATGTGGTTTGAACGATGAATGAATTGGGCTGTGTTGTGTGCGTTTGTTTTTTCAGAACCGTACTAGCTGTTGCTGGGGAAGACTTCGCCATCGTAGCCTCAGACACCAGGCTGAGTGAAGGCTACTCAATCCACAGCCGCGACTCGCCAAAATGCTACAAGCTGTGAGTTTGCCCTGTCACATCCATGCACTGTCAACAAAGGCAAGACCGGGAGTATAAAGACATGTCAACTTTTTACCATACTGTATCTGGTCCCTTTACCTACTATACTGTATCTGATCCCTTTACTTGCATAGCTCTTATATATTCTGTATATTCTTTGAAATCTAGTACCAGTTAAATATATTGAAACCACTGAAGTCACTGCATCTTAACCTTTTTGTGTAGTTTTGTCCTGCTTGGTGCTCAATACCTTGATGTAGCACTTTGTTAATCTTTCGATTTTAATGTTTTTAAAACTTGTTGAACCATATGCTGCTCTGACTCTTGCAGATCTTTGTTCTTCCCTTTCACAGGACAGACACAACCGTCATCGGCTGCAGCGGTTTCCACGGCGACTGTTTGACTCTGACTAAAATCATTGATGCCAGACTAAAGGTGGGCTGGTGGAGCAGAGTGTTTTGGTTTCACTGTCCTAAGTCTCATCTCTTAAACTGATCGTATTCTGCTGACTCTGCAAACTGTCCCGTCTCTTATGGATTATAGTGGTATTCAAGACCGTTGTCGTGAGGGTAGTGATCTCGTGACTTGATGTCTTTGAGGAAGATTTTTTTTTCAATTCTAAATACCCAAGAAGACAAATATGTCTTAATTATGTGTAGTGTTACCACAAATAATAAACACTAAAGGGACGATCCTAGATACGTTTGCATTTCACTTTATTTGGACCTGCAGCCAAGTAATTCCTACTGAGGCTGTCACAGGTTACTTGGTCGCTAGTGAGACAGAACTAATATTCCTGCACCTTCCTCAGATGTACAAACACTCAAATAACAAGACCATGACCAGCGGTGCCATTGCAGCCATGTTGTCCACCATCCTGTACGGCAGGAGGTTTTTTCCTTACTACGTCTACAACATCATCGGAGGACTAGATGAACACGGTAGGTGTAGCAATGCTGCATGCCTCAAGAGGAGTAAATGTAATTTGGAAATCTAGCACTTCTGTATGTTTGTACCGTACATTGTATACGTTTTGAAATAAGAAAACCCTGCATATTCAGGCTGGGGTTAAAACGGCCTTTCCTATATTCTTTTATTGCTGTATTGCATCACACACAGTGTGTGTTATTTGTGTCATACTGAAGATGGAAATGGTATAGAGCGCTAACTAATGACTGATTGTTGAAACCAATGAAGGCAAGGGAGCAGTGTACAGTTTTGACCCAGTGGGCTCCTACCAGAGAGACACCTACAAGGCTGGAGGATCAGCAAGCGCCATGCTACAGCCCCTACTGGACAACCAGGTAAATAACACACTGCATGTTGACCTGTTGTCATAATCCCTTGATGTTTAGGCATGCAGACAATGTAGTGTCAGTTGAGTTTGCTTGCTTTAGAGAAGGTGCATTCACGTTAGTGTCTTTCCAACCTGTCCTTCTACAGATTGGCTTCAAGAACATGGAGGGTGTGCAGCACGTTCCTCTGACTCAGGACAAGGCAGTTCAGCTGGTCAAAGACGTCTTCATCTCTGCCGCAGAGAGAGATGTCTACACTGGAGATGCTCTTCGGGTCTGCATCATCACTAAGGAGGGCATCAGCGAGCAGACTGTACCACTGAGGAAGGATTGAGAAGGCAAATGTTCCCCTTTCTCTGATTTTCTCTTTGCTCTGTTCTTTCCACATGCATCTATTGGTTTTGGCCCCTTAACAAAACATTTCTTAAACTAGGAGTTTTGATCCAGAATTGGCTTTTAGGGACCTCTTAAGTCAGGCTTATTCTGGGAAGCAGATTTTCCATTTTTTTATATCCACTCACAATTTACAATTGAAATCCAACCTTTTCTCCTGCTTTCCGCTGTCGTCCCCCTCACAATCTGCTATTATTACATGCTTGTGTTTGGATTCTAGGAACCTGATTCTAGATCAGCACTCCTGTTCTTAAGAAGCAACAGACTCTACTCAATCTGCCTAGACTCCTCCTCTGTTTGGATGTTGCGTTATGTTTTGGAAGGATACATACTCTGCTGTTCTTTTTACATTCTTAATAAATGTAAAGAATTTAAAATGTGAGTCTTCTTGTTCATTGAATGTCCTTCACACATGGATACTCTATTTCAGATTGCTAATGCTCCTCACAGTGTTGCATTAAAAATGTTGAATTGTGGCATATTTAAGTATTCTAACCGGAGCTCAGGATATTTCCCCGAGACGGTCTTCATACACCACTTGCATCCGTGCAATACCACGCTGACCTGATCGAATACGTTTTATTTCACAATGTTAAGAATGGCTGGAGTTAACATAAATCTTAATGTGTTCCACCGACCTTCAATTTGGAGATTAACAATGTTAAACAAAGTCAATTCTGCAGTGTTGCAGCCCAATTAAACCTGCTCAAAGAAATGGACACGATTTATCCTAATTGACTTTGTTGTCCATTTAGTACCTACATATTGTTCTAGTCCATAGGAGGAAACTGACAAACTGAATTGTTCTCTGGTCATATACGGTGATTTAAATGAATACAACAGGCAGCCTGCTTGCATGCAACACCTGAACTGGTATTGTGGACTGCTGACTTACTTTCATCCATTTACACTCATCCCCACATGTTCGGCATCTCTCTTTACCGCCTCCCATTACAGCAGATTATCTCACACTGTACACCAGGTGTGTATAGTAAGTTACTCCCATAGACTGAATCCAGTAGAATGGAGCACCGCAGTCATTAGTGGAATGAATTACATCTAATCAAACAAAAGAGGATAGAAGTCCTGAATTCAGACTACATAAGCAGGTTTTTAGTATGAGGTGGTTTCACAATAAATATTTACTTATTTAAATTTATTTAAAGCCAACGTAATGCATCCTAAATACTGTACATTGAGTATGCTGTTGCTGGGCTCAATCTCCCACAATGCAATGGGTATGGAGGACCTGCTCAAACACAAAACTCACAGGTAACAATCTTGGAAACAACACAGGTATTCAATCCACTGAAGTCATTTTAATGTATTTGTTAGGTCAAATTGGCTTTTCAAAGTAGTGACTGACCTTTCACCTCACATGCATTGTGTATAAAATGGTACATACAGTTGATATTTCTAAGTAACTGCTAAAACAATGTGCTTAGTATGATGAATGAATAAATGTTTGGGATACAGCTAGTGTCCACAGCAGGACTCTGGAACTAGCACACAAATGGAACAAATAATGTGAATGAAAATGAGATTTAAGCTAAATATCTATACAAAATGCCCACCAATAAAATTGCCTTTATCATTAGATATTTTTCTCAATCACTCTACATACAAATTCCAGACCAATAGACTGGACTGACATTGTTGCCTTTATTCTTCCCCACCTTAAAGAGTGAAAACACAAACTGCCCTGAGCAGGAAGAAAAAACACAAACTTCCAATTGTATTCCTTTTTTATTAATCAGCAACTGTAACACGCGTTTACCCAATTGTTTGAATAATCAAAGACTCCCTCACAAACAAACAAGGACACACACACAGTGTCCTCAGGCGTAGTACTGAAGGTTGGCCTTCTTCTTGGCCTGAACTTCCAGGATTCCCTCCATGTAATCTTCATGGTTGAGCTCTGTGGCCCCGCGGCGCAGCGCAATCATGCCGGCCTCCACGCACACCGCCTTGCACTGCGCTCCGTTGAAGTCGTCGGTGCAGCGAGCCAGCTCCTCGTAGTTGACGTCTGGGCTGACGTTCATCTTGCGGGAGTGGATCTGCATGATGCGAGCTCTGGCCTCTTCGTTTGGCATGGGGAACTCAATCTTTCTGTCCAGGCGACCTGAACGCAGCAGCGCAGGGTCCAAGATGTCCACCCGGTTGGTGGCGGCGATCACCTTCAAAAAAAAAAAAAAAGGATGCAGTTATGCTGTAGTCATCATGCTGTAATGCAATGCCGCTGTGGTAACGGACAATAATACAAGTCGGTGCATAACTTTGTTTGAAAAGGAAACCACTTTTTAAATGTAGTTGTTTTGAGTTTGTCTGTACATCAATTACTCTTTTTAATGTGTAGTTTGTGAAAACATGTATTGCGTGCTTTACGGTGAGCCTATATGTCATATTCCAATGTTAACAATTCTGTTGTTTGAATCAAACATTAACCCGAGGAATCACTATGTCCGATTTCTCAAAATGTTGCTTTGGTTGAAAAATAACTGCTGAAATACTAAAAGAAGGACAATGTAAATAAGCATGAGGCAACGTAAAAGTTGTTTTCTTGGTAGCAGCATCCTTACCTTGACCTGCATGTTGGGCTGAAATCCATCCAGCTGGTTGAGCAGCTCCAGCATGGTCCTCTGCACCTCTCGGTCTCCTGCCTTCTCGCTGTCAAACCTCTTGGTCCCGATGGCGTCCAGCTCATCGATGAAGATGATGGATGGCGCTTTCTCTTTGGCCAGAGCGAAGGCGTCCCTCACCAGCTTGGCTCCATCGCCAATAAACATCTGGACCAGCTGTGGACCGGCAAGCTTCAGGAAGGTGGCCTTGGTCTGAGCGGCACAGGCCCTGGCCAGGAGGGTCTTCCCAGTACCAGGTGGACCGTACATCAGAACTCCTTTGGGTGGCTGGATGCCAAGGTTTTCAAACTTCTCCTTGTGGTTCATGGGCAGGACGATGGCCTCCACGAGCTCCTGGATCTGCTTGTCCAGCCCTCCTATGTCGCTGTACTGCTCCGTGGGGCGCTCATCCACCTCCATAGCCTTGACTCTGGAGTCATACTCGGTGGGCAAGGTCTCCAGGATCAGGTAGGAGTCTTTGTTGACACCAACCAGGTCTCCAGGCTTCAGCTTCTCGGCGTCCACCAGCCCGATCACGGGCAGGAAGTAGGTCTGTCGAGTGGAGGTCTTAATGACGGCGCACTTTCCTTTCCTTTGAGAGTCCAGGTCCACATTAGCCCCGTCCTCCTCCTGGTCGTTGGGGTCCACGTCCAGCAGCTCGATCACATTAGACACGAGATACGGCAGGGTTTTGTTCACCTTTATCTTCTCCGTGTTTTCTTTGATTTTATCCTTCATGGCCTGCAGCTCGTGGGTCACACGCAGCACCTCGCTCTTCATTATCTTTATTTCGCTGTCGAGTAGACGAGTCCGTTGAACTATCTCCTCCGTGGACATTTTTAAAACTTCTTCGCCGATTCCATCCTCCACTTCGTCCCAAACTGATTTGTCACTCAGCGACGCCATCTTTGCTCTGACTGTGTTGAACTGTGACCCACCGGAAGTTAAAGCTTCTTGTTCCGGAAGTAGCCGACAAACCGCTCGTGAGCGCCGAAGCACAAGAACGAAGATCAAACAAACCCTGAAGCTGAATTAATTCAGTTCCTCTTCTGGTTTGAGCTGCGCGAGTGTGACTGTAAGTTGGCGGGCAGTTAACTGTGGTGCACTAGCAAATGTCAAAGTAATATGCAACTCTTTTTAGCACACAAAGTTGCTGCTTTAACAGTGGCCGGAATGCGTTTGAGTGACTGTTAGCAAGTGCGCTAATATTAGCTCTTCAGCTAACTTCAGCTAGCCAATGTGTTGATATGTTCCTTTTTTTGGAGGCTGGCCGGGCATCCTTCAAGAAGATGTAACGGTACACGGGTATAGATCCATTTGCCAACAAGGTTTTTCACTGTACCATTTAAATGGCACATCTTGCATTTGGGCCCCTAATGAATTAACGTAACGGGTTCAAGCGACGTGAATCAACGTTTAAGCTAAATGTGATTATTAGCAAGCAGTGAATGTGTTCGCGCCACTGACGGAGTCGCACAAATTTGGCTTCTGGTCATTTGCAGGTCCTTCACTCGACTTTGATTACACTCTGTGATTACTAATAATGAATTGTTTGTCTGAGTAAACTTCTGTCTTCGACTTGACAGGGACGAGTTAGCTGCAAGCGAAGAGCAACGAGTAGCGGGTGTTTCTGCAGAGTCCGGTCCTCTGTGGCTGCTGCTGCCTTTCTGGTGCATTATAGACGGTGCACATAGACGAGCTGCGAGGCACCGGCGGTGTGAAGTTACTTCCTGCTCTTTGGTGGCAGTGAATTAACGTGAGGAACTGACGCGATGGAGCAGAACAACAGTATACCTCCCTTCCAGGGGCAGGCATCCCCCCAGGTAACACTGGTTTATAGTATTTTTCTGCTTTAACATACCTCAATGTAGCAGCTCGAGTCTGCTAAATATTAGCAAACATAGCTGTGCAGCGTACATGTCGACCCTACAAAATCGACTGATCCACGACTGTTCAGATAATCATTTTATTTAACGTTGTAATAAGAGGCAAAGCTACACATGTTGTCACAATGGCCATTTGCTTCTAATGTGTCTCTCTTGCTCCATCCCAAACTGGTGTTTATTTGTGCCATTTTTGCAGGGGTCCATGACGCCAGGCATGTCAATGTTCAGTCCTATGATGCCTTATGGCTCGGGCCTGACACCCCAACCTGTCCAGAACACCAATAGTTTGTCCATACTGGAGGAACAGCAGAGGCAACAACAGCAGCAACAGGCACAGCAGGCAAACGCAGGTATACCACTCACACGTAAGCCTGTGCCTCCATCTCTACGCCTAGTGAGATCAAGCCTCCCTGGCATTGGTGTCGTCCTTTGGTTCTGGGAACACATAGTGCCACAATGGAACTTATTACCCGTTCATGTTTAAAGAAAACTTATGTTTTCTGTTCTTCAGGCCTTCCTGGAACCTCGGGGCAGACGCCTCAGCTTTACCATTCCCAGACGGTTGCAGGCTCGACCACCACTGCGCTGCCGGGAAACACCCCGCTCTACAACACTCCGCTGACCCCCATGACCCCCATCACACCGGCCACACCCGCCTCGGAGAGCTCCGGAATAGTACCACAGCTACAGTATGTTTCGGATATGCATCCGATATGTGATCCGATTATCCGGGATTTATTTTTTATCAGAGACTAAAATCCTTTAGGAATACACTATGCGAGGATGTAAATAGTACTCGGGTCATTTATAATTTAATGAGACCTGAAACACGATTATAGCTGGCATTTCAGTCCGTGTTTTTTCATTTATAACTACAGAGTCTCTTAATTGTTTGTATAAAAAAAAAAAATTAATTGTTTTTATAGAAACATCGTATCTACTGTAAATTTGGGCTGTAAACTGGACTTGAAGACCATTGCCCTGAGAGCCAGGAATGCAGAGTACAACCCAAAGGTGAGACTACAGTGCATCATATTACTGTCATAATCATTATGTAATCACAAAATAATCCACATTTGTCTGATCTGATTTGTAGATCAAATGGGCTTTTTATCAATTTAGGACAAAGTTATGGTGTGTAAGGATAACATAATGTATTCCCACTCTATTACATATATGTAGAAATAATTAGCTGGATGTCATTTCTCTCTCTTTTTTTGTAGCGTTTTGCTGCAGTCATCATGAGAATACGAGAACCCAGAACTACAGCGCTCATTTTCAGCTCTGGGAAGATGGTGTGCACTGGAGCTAAGAGGTCAGAATACTCTATATGCTAAGTGTTAATGTGCTGCAGATCTCAATTAGCCAGATTTCCACTGTATGTATGTCTCGATGAAGTGTGCTTGCCTTTTCCGTTGTCTTAATTCACTACATTTCTCTTATAATCCATATTTTACGCTTCACTTCTCTCTTCAGTGAGGAGCAGTCACGGTTAGCTGCCAGAAAATACGCTCGTGTGGTGCAGAAGCTCGGTTTTCCTGCAAAGTTCCTGGACTTCAAGATTCAGAACATGGTGGGAAGCTGCGATGTAAAGTTCCCCATTCGGCTGGAAGGATTAGTCCTCACACATCAGCAGTTTAGCAGGTGATTTATCGTAGTGTGCTGCTGAACTCATTGATTTTTGCCAGTTCGAAAGCACCAGCTCATGGCTTTTTTTGTGAGGATGTCTCTCTTGTGGCTACACGTTTGTGCCACGTAATCAAAGGCCTAATGGGGTCTTTTTCGGTGGCGTGTTGGACATTATGCAAAGAATTAAGAGGATTTTTCTTTGAAAGATCAAGTTAATACTTTTAATGAGTGATATCAAATGATTTGTCTGTTTCAGCTATGAACCAGAGCTGTTTCCAGGACTGATTTACAGAATGATCAAACCCAGAATTGTCCTTCTCATCTTTGTCTCTGGAAAAGTAGTACTCACAGGTAAGACCCAATCCTCACTGCTAATGTCTCACTTCACCCCTAATAGTTTACAATTTTTGACAGTGGGGAGTTAATGGTTTACTTTTCATGACACATGATGCTATTTTGTCTGCTTTGGTCCTTGGGGCACATTGTCACTTATCCCCACTGTTCAGAAATTCCCATATTGCATTGCTATGTGTTGCTTTTGTATTAAGGTGCCAAGGTGAGAGGAGAGATCTATGAAGCATTTGAAAACATCTATCCCATCCTGAAAGGCTTCCGCAAGACAACGTAGAACCTGCAGCTCCTTCTTTTCCCTTTATCATCAATACTTTGTACTTTTTCTTTAATTCACAAGAAGAATTGTCTATATTTTGACCTCTACAGGTGGACTGCTGTAAGGACTGTTGTACAGGGATGTGAGTTGTCTAATTATCTTTTTTTTTTTATTATTCATCCAGTTTTTTTATACAGTTTTTTTTTTTTTTTTTCTTGCTACGTTTGATTGCAAGAAATGTAATTTTTATTACACAGACCTCGTCATTTGTTTTCAACATTTTTTTTTTTTTGCCCTTTTTATTTCCAGATTTTGCTGCACCCATCCCTGATTGTAAATAAGATTGTAAAGAAATGTATAAAGCGCTGATTAGCAGAGAAACAGTCTGATTTTGACTGTTTCTAGTTTTTATTTTAAGCCATTTTAAATCGTTTTGTACGTTGCATTTTTATAAATTGCCCTCTTGGTCCCGGATTATAACGAGACCTGTCTAGGTCTGTCAACCCCACGATGCTCTCGACAGTTTGAATGCTTGAAGTGCATTTCCCTCTAAATTCAAACATGTTAACAGGAGAAATACCGTCTAGTCTGTTAATCTGTAACTGAAGGGGGATGCTCTTAAATTTAGATTTTAAAGAAGTTAAACTAATTTGATCCAATTCCTGCTACTAAAGTTGTCCTCAGGTTGTTGCTTAATTCATTACATTGGTACTTCTAAATCAAGCTGAACATGAAGAACAGGAGGTGTTGATTTGAAGGTAGACGGCTTCTTTTACTTATCGTAACCTTTAGCATTTTCTGTTTTCGAGGAGCACTAAAAGGTGTCTGATAAACTGAGCATTGTTTTGCCATCTTTATGTATGTTCAAAATCCTATTTAAATTTTTATTTTGAAGAATTATTTTTGTGCTGAGGAAAACGGGATTCTGTACCGGTTGTGCATACTGTGTGCTCGGTTTCACATTTTCTCCAAAAGGTTGTTACAATTTTTGGCACTTCATGGCGAGTTGGTCGTGGTGACCGTCGGTTTCCATCTGTGCGTCTGTATGAGCAGCAGAAGAGATTGGGGGTGTTAATCAATACGTTCCTCTGTCCCTGGGGTTCAGCACCATGAGGCCATGTCACACATTTCAAAGCAATTGTTATTCTGAAATTGTTACCGTGCATCAATAAATGTGTACATGCCGGCTCCCTTGTTCAAGCTGCTTTTGGTGCCGTCGTATTTAGAAACGTCACTTTGGTTGTCCAGTGAACAATGAGAAAGTTGTCCTCAAAGTGTGTGTAAAAATCTTTACGTTTAGTCTGAAGAATCTTACTCTACTTTTTTTTTTTATTTATTTTTTTACATGAACTATTGTGTTAGTCCTGAACCAAATGTTAGCATTACATAACTATTAGAAACAAAAGATTTGTCCAATTTGAGATCTGCTTCTCACTCCGGGCTAGTTTTTTCTCTACTCTGATCGTCTCAAACATGTTAACACGCCTAAATACGTGGCGTTGCAGCGATGTGATCGGCGGGTGTTTGTTGAGCGGGTGAACCTGACAAAGTGGTGATCGTTGAGTTGCCCCTGCAGAAGCGCTTAATGAGTAGAACGTGAAGTGTTTATCCAAATGCACCTTTAAACCCACCGGGCACTACTGTTTGCAGTGAACATTTCCACCAATTACGTGATTTCACAAAATGAATAATTGTATCTATCAATACAAGACACCAAGAGAAGTGCAGCACAGATCTCATCTGTGTATTCACATGTTTTACTAACTCGTGTTTGGGAGCTTTCATGCAGCCGTTTCTTCTCATGGTGCGAACAGGAAGGAAACGGCTCAGGTCATGTGACAAAATGGAATTTACTTTTATTTTTGTAGAACGTTAACTTGCACATTCTTCTAGATGCTTTTATATACTCTTGGAAATGTATTGATAACTAACATTTATGGAGACATTACAACTGAAAGTAAATTGTGAAGATATAACAAACCAGAATATTTGGCAAATATTTCAACTGTAGATTAACACTTCAGCCATAGAGTATTGTTTTATTTGTTTTGGGTTAATAGACCTACGGCAGTGGAAACAGACAACCCTAACCATAGGTCAGAAATACCACTGAATGGATTGACAGAATTTGTAGTTCTAATAAACCAGAACTAGAATTCCAGTCTAAACTTCTATGCAATCAGTGCAGAATGTGAATTTCTGCCATCAAAAAACATCCTCACTCTCCTTGAGCTTAATAATTCGACACTGATTTTAATCTGACCGGTGTAACATTAGACAATCTGCAGGGAGAGTAGTAGAATGTAGAATATGTCCATTCTACTAAATAGGAAGTGACATCACTGCAAGAGTGCAAACTGCCTCCCTCACAGAGCATCACTGTCTCCTGGACTCGGTCCGGCAGCAGGAAGACGTTATGTGGGTTCTGAGCTGAAGTCCTGCTTCCAGATGAACTCTGGGCAGTACTGGTCATCATGGTCACAGCTGGCGGAGCACGTATAGACAACCAGTGTCCCCCAGTCTATACTGTCTCCTGTCGTGTCCACACACAGACTGTTTAACAGCTGTGGCATCACCTAGAGAGACACACACAGGAATATTTCACGTGAACAAAATACACGTGACACTGACACACTTTCACACCCGTAATCAGTCTGCATTGTTCAAATGACGCTCAGGAACATAGTTTTTTAAGTAAAAGTAAGCATTCCATGTTTAAATACTACCATTAAACTTATTTTACGTTGTTAAATCAATCACAACATTCCGCTTTGGGCAGCACACTTTTTTCTTGCTCACAAAAACCTCTGGCCACAGAGAAAGACCAGTCTTGGTTCACTTAGTCACTCCTAACAATAGAGTAAACCTTAACTGGGCTCGTTCATTGCCAGCTTGCACCCACATCTTTATATGCATGGCACAGAGTAACAGCTTGCTGGCATCCCACTAGTGAGAAAGAAGGAAAGCGGGTGGATGGAAAAAAGAGGATGGACGGACTACCTGAAACTCAAAAGTCCTTTTGGCGCCGCAGGTGCATGCTGGGATATCCTGATCTGAAGGGATGTGCTTGGAGGAGACCCACAGGGGGGAGCCGCCTCGACTGTACCGCACCACCTGAAAGAAGGAAGCGCTGTAAGATCTTTCTAACTTAACGGCGTCTGTGTGAGGAGCGACTCGTCCCCCTTGGTTCACCTGGTGAGGTTCTGGCCTGATCCTCTTTTTGAACTGCTGGAACACTTTGTGGTCTTGGTTGTCGTGCATAGCCATCTCCTCCAGGTCTGTCTCTGCCAGGGCTGAGCAGAGAACGGTCAGCCAGGAGAGGAAGTAAACGTTACTGTGACCACATCATTATAGTTATGAGAAATAATACAAGGCTTACTGTCTGCTGAGGGGGGACAGTCTTCGCCCTCCTTTTCTTCTTCAGCCTCCTTTGTGTCTTCCTCCTCCTCCTCCTCCTCCTCAGGTTCAATGACCAGCTCAGACTCAGGGAAGAGGAAGCTTGAAGTTGTGACGATGGACGCCTCTATATAGTCGGACAGAGACGCACGCAGCACAGACATTAAGCCTCCGTTGTGACACGAATCGACTCTTAACTTGAGCAAGAATAGAATTTGTTTTTTTCTTTTTTTCTTTTTTTAAAGCGTAGCAGCTCAGAAATATGTTTTAACTGGCATGTAAAACACAGACCTGGAGTGCAACATTCCCTCTTGTGTGTGGTTTTCCAGTGGAGGGTCTGGTGGTGTTTCCCACAGTAGTTTACAGCATGACAGCGGGAGCAGGCTTTGTTGCCGGGACAACCGCACACCCAGCAGAGTCTAATTCCAGAGACGGACAACACACGCTGGTCTGGTTCAGGACCGCTGGGGGGTTCATCCTCTGAGGAAAAGAAACACAAGTCCATTACTGTTGAAAATCCATTAAAAATATATATTATTATGAATGAAAATTAAACAATTGAGTTAGTACATTGCATCATACTGTATTTATACCTGTATATCATTTATAGTAGGAGGTGAATCATACTTTTACTGACATCCTAGCAAAATACACCAACCTGATGGAGGATCGTAGGGGTAGAACTCATTCTTCCTTGGGAGCTGGCACCTGAAAACTGAAACAGAAATGAGAGAACACAAACTGTCAAACTAAATTACATTTACTCTACAAACAAACAAGAATGAAAAAAATACACTGGAAAAACAAGAATGTTTACCTTTCATACAGCTGCTGTCGTTGCATGTGTAGCACTCACAGGTTTTACAGCAGAACAGAAAGAGAGTTCTGTGGAAACTTCTGTCCTCACCAGAAATAGGTGCATACACCTGCATCAAAGATGGAGAGGACTGTACTTCTAGTTCCCAAATGAACAGGGCTGAGATGGGTGAATGGAAGTCAATTATTTCAGGTTAATATGTTTAATTAGGTCTTATATATGTATGGTGTATCTGCTCCTACGTGGATTTCCCTATTTGTTCTTAAGTCCCTGAGAAGCCTTAACACACGTTTACTCTTTTGATGTGGTGTGTTGTGTGCGATCTCGTGTTCATATTAAAATTAAATTGATTATATTTTACTATGACGCACCAGGGACACTGACCTGCAGCAGGAAGGCCATCGGCAGGCGGCATTTCTCACACTCCAGCTCGGGCAGCGAGGGCGGGCCTTTCTGGCTGAGCCACGCCGGCTTCCCCCCGACTTTACTGGGGAACTGCGGAGAGAGAAGCCGCCACGGCTCCGCCTCCTCCAGGAAGCCCAAGTCTACTTTGACCGGGGGCGGACCGGGATCTCCGGACATATTGGAGGAGTTCATCCGCGTTTCACAGGAATAATAGTGAGATAAATAAATATCCAACAAGAACTGAGCGCTTTTCCCAACCTGCCAAAACACATGAGCTCGAGGTGCGGTTTAGAAACAGGTCCGTAAGGAAACACTGGCCGCCCGGTTTTTCGTTCCGCAAGCATGTTATACTATTAATTATTTTAATTCAGCTGTAAAGCCACATTTGGTTGATATAAGACAACCGGCGTCCTTCCCTGTTGGGAACATTCCCGGTTCACGCAGTAACTTTCACCCTCGTCTTTCTCTAAGTTGAATTATTTAGTCGTATTTATTTTTCACGATGTCCACCAGATGGCGCCATTTCCCAATTGAAATTTGAAGTTGACATGTAAGGAATCAAGAGAGTAGAACATCCACAATATATCCACAATAAACATTATCTTTAATTAAATTAACTTAACTAACTAGATTGAACGGCTCAGACTTTAACTCTGGAAAGTAAGTATTTTAAGTACAAGTACTGTATTAACTGAGTTATTTGTATTTCGGATTGAATATTTCCATAAACTTCAGAACAAGATATAGAACTTTCTACTCAACCTTTTTTATCTGACAGCTGCGTTGTTGCATTGCAAATTAGGACTTCATTATTGTAGTTGTTAATCTTACTTATTTTGTTATTATTATCACCCTTTCTCTCTCCCGCACGCACACACACAGCGTGATGTCATCTGAGGGGGAGTTTGGGACGTGGTCTCGGTGGGACGTCAGAACGGACTGAGACGGACTGAGACACCCGCCCCACGTTGATTGGACCTCCGCTCTTTTTCAACTCGATCTCTCTCGAATCCACCACGGGACACATAGTCGGTTCATCGCAGTGACAGTCATAACTTCTTTTCATATTTAACGATGGAAACTAAAAGGACGCGGTCAGCGGCAACAGCCCCCGAAGTCCGCTGACAAACCGCCCTGTTACCCGGCAGATAGCGACGGAGGAATGGACCATGTGAAGAAGTCCGCCCCGAGCCGCGACTGAACCCCATGTCGCCCTCCTCCCCGTGCCAGATGCCTCTGCGGGGCGACGGAGGCTACAAGTCCTCGGAGCCGCTGACCCCCGCTCCGCCCGTCCCGCCGCGGAGGTTCCGGGGCTCCGGCCGGACGCGGCGCTCCGGGGCCGCGGGGGCGGAGAGGCGGGTGAAGTGCGTGCTGGTGGGAGACGGAGCGGTGGGGAAAACCAGCCTGGTGGTGAGCTACACCACCAACGGGTACCCCACCGAGTACGTGCCCACGGCCTTCGACAACTTCTCAGGTGACGGAGCTTTTCGCTTTGTTTTGACAAAAGAAGGTGTGAGATTGTTTAAATGTGCAATCTGATATCCGTACATGGAATGTCCCTTTTAAATGCAATACATGCACACACACACACACACACACACACACACACACACACACACACACACACACACACACACACACACACACACACACACACACACACACACACACACACATATATAATGTAACAATATAATATACTTTTTAGTTAATGTGTGGTTATATATATATATATTATAACATTTTATATTATATATTATAAATATATATGAGAGTACAATTGTGTAGACCAATCCCTTTATTGATTAATCACACCGTTACTGTACTTTTGAGTAGTTGCATAGTTATCATGTGGTGTCGATTGTTTGAATGTTGTAAGAAATCTGCCATTTCCTTTTTAGTCAATATCTAAATTTATCTGTCTACACTGTTTGTTTGTGTGTGTGTGTGTGTGTGTGTGTGTGTGTGTGTGTGTGTGTGTGTAGCGGTGGTATCAGTGGACGGTCAGCCAGTCAAACTACAACTGTGTGACACAGCTGGACAGGTCAGTGATCTCATCACAAACACACACAGAGGGGAGAGAGAGCAGCACTTCCTGTTGTTGCTTTATTTGTGTAGTAGAAACAATGCCTCTTACCAGAGGAAGTGATGGAGAGGAAACTCCTCTTTCTTTCTTTCATTATGGTGTGAGTAGTTTACAATAAATAAAGACTAACATGTAAACTATTTATATATATACATGTTCTAATTATAATACAATAATTAGAAAGCAATTTAATGAAACAATCAGCTTTCCTAATATAAACTGTCAATGGCTTAAGTTATGATGGCAGAATAAATGTGAGGATCACAATGAGAGGAAGCAGAGGACTGGAGATGAACAACGGAGAAGAAATTAGACTGATTTCATAGTTTATTATCAGTTCTTAAAACAAATCACTCAGTAGCAACAGTAATTGTGTCAGCTTGATGTTGTACATTGCTGTTGATTGTTCACCAGTAAAACCTTATTGTCCAGATTCTCCTAAAATACCTTATTATGCTCATTCTAAAAAATAAATCCCATCATCCTCAACACGTTTTTTCTCTCTTGATCGTCCCAGGATGAGTTCGACAAGCTGCGGCCTCTGTGCTACACCAGTGCAGATGTGTTCCTGCTGTGCTTCAGCGTGGTCAGTCCCGCCTCCTTCCAGAACGTTCCTGACAAGTGGGTTCAGGAGATCCGGAGACACGCGCCACTCGCTCCGGTGGTCCTCGTCGGGACGCAGTGTGACCTCCGAGAAGATGTCAAGGTGGTGTACAATCTGCTTCACGCACACACAAAAATTATTAAAAAATCAATTATATTATTTCTGACAAATGTCACTAACATTGAATGGAGGCTACACATCAAAATGTTAATTTTACCAAAGAATTTCATTGATTACACCGGCCTTTTTCTGTTATCATCAACATCCGGGCTTTTTGTTTTTAATATAAAAATTTGCAGAAATGATCAAATAACGAAACAATGTAGGATTCTTACCTAAAATCTAGAATTATAAAGTTATTATGGATGAAGATGAAGAACCGACGCCAGGTGCATTTCTTACCATAAATCGGAAAAAGTAATATCTACAAAAGCATAATACCATTTATTCTTTAGGTTCTCATTGACCTGGCGAGGTACCGGGAGCGACCCGTGGACCCGGCAGATGCCCGTGACTGTGCCATTGAAATCGGAGCCGTGTCCTACATGGAGTGCTCTTCCCTGACCCAAAAGAACTTAAAGGAAGTGTTTGACACGGCCATACTGGCCAGCCTGCAGAACTACAGCTCCCATAAGCACTCCAGAGGGAAACAGAAACGAAGGAAGAAGCAAAGGCAGACCCCGGACAAGATGAAGAGTCTGTCCAAGTCATGGTGGAAAAGGTACTGCTGTGTGGCCTAGAGCAGTTTGGGTCTAAGACGCAGATCCTCTGTTCACTTCAACTGGGTTTGGCCTCTGCTTCTAGTTTGGGTTTCTCTCTGATGGCGCCTGACGTTGTGCACGACCTTGACTGGACCGTTGCCGAGCACCAAAGTAAGACTGTCGTGGATGTACATTTTATCACTTATGGCGTTGTAGTCTTATCACAGAGGAGGTTCACATCTGAGCCCGGCCCGGTTCTAACTAAACCCGCTCTGAAAGAAATACAGTCCTGACATCTTTTTTTCCAAGCTGGTTTAAACCTGAGCTGAGTGCTGCCTGTACTGGAAGTAAACTGGCATTTACCGGGACTGGCAGAGGAACCGTCTCTGTGTCACGGAGAAAGTACAATGTTGCCTTCGATTAGACCCGTCTACATTTGAACCCCAAAAAAGTCTTGTCTGTGGTTGACACACATAATGGAGGAGTGTTTAGTCTCATAATAACCTTCCTGGCCCGGTATGGATTTATGTATGCGTGTCACGAGGGCTGAAATGGAGCGTGACTCACTGCACCTAAACGTCCTTTGTTTAACCTTGTTGCAACACTTAATGATTAAAAAGAACATCCTTACTGAAGAACAGCGCCTCTCTGAAACAGCATCGGTGCTCCTTGACATTATTTACATGGTAAGAACAAGTACTCTTGTGTGTTCCGACACGATCACCGTGCTTGATGTAAGTCAGAAGTCAGCCAACCGATTCTGTCCGTGGATAATTTGTCACATGATAAATTGACAGCGGTGCAGCCGATCAACCTAATCTGACATCTGGATCAAGGTTTATCTTTTTTTTAGTCTCGGCCTGATTGGTTTCTGCCTAGTTTGGTTTTTAGTGCGTTTTTCTTCACGTCCCGTTAAAAGTGGATAGGTCCAGTGAGGCCGAGGCTTGAGGTTTATATTGTATCTTATTTAAAAGAGCTGATGTCTCTTTGCCCGTGAGGGTAAAACGGGGTCATTGGCCATCCTCACCGTCCTACATTAGTACTGAAGGGCTCTTCAGGCTTTACCTTCTTAACGAGGCGGTGGTTGGGACCTTGAGCGGGTACGAGGACCTTCTGTAATTTAAGTATTTTTCTTCCTGATCACATTGTTCCTCCAGCCACAGCTTCGCTCAGTGTGACAAGTGACTTCTGCCAACCGGTAACCTTTAAGTATCAAAGCAAACTTAAACAGTGTTACTGAAGGTGTCAGCACTTAAACAGAATTAGATCAACTAAGGTCTCCGCCTGGGTTTCAAGTTACAACGTGGAGACTGCTGTTTATTTCTGGAGGATTGTAGCCAAAAATAACTGAAATATATGGGCTTTCTTTCCCCAGCTTTTCAATGCAATTGTGTATCTAAGACTGTGAAGTTTGAATTATGTAAATATTCAGTGAACTCTGTTCTTAGTAGTTCTTGTGAACTATAGATAGATTTATCATGTTCGTTGCTCAGCGTTTTTTTTCTTTTACTCAAAATATGCATGTTATAATTATAATTGTAGCCATTGAGCAGATCTATCCTTGCATCCCAAATGCTTCTATACTGGTTTGTCTTGTGTGCTCTGTTCATTCTGCAGCCTCTTCATATGTTAATAAGAAACCTGTGTGGATGTCAAACAGTCAGCTGCCACACCTTCATTTCTACAATGTAGACACTAAAACAAGAACAAAACCCTGAACTTCTTCCCTACGGTGCCGTCATCTGAAGGACTCTTTGTGTCAGAGCAAGTTTGCAACCAGGTTGCTGTCTGTAATGGATTTACAGCAGATCTGTCATTATTTAGTGAGCATCATACGCTTGCATAAGGATCGAGAACACAAAATGATTTCCACTCTAATATTTCTTATCCCTGGGGCAGCTAAACTCTGACCTAAACCCTCAAGAGAAAGAAACCGAGGGACAAGCTGAACCTTTGTGTGAGTAGTGGCCCAAAGGTTATAGGCCGAGGTCAAGGGTTAATATCTTTGCCGTGTTCTGCACTCAGAAGGAAATGTATTACGTGAAAGTTGAACAAATGTTCACAGTTTGCCATTCATGCAGTTTTTTCCGTCTAGTTATATTGCAGAGTGAGATAAGACCGGCGGAACATGCTCAATCAAAGAAGAGGATTTGTGCAATAGACTCTTTGTTTACTACTCTCATTTACGAGCTTCTCTGATGCAAACTAAGTGTCCCGAGACAATGAACACAGCTGCAGCCGGATATTGGTCCAAACATTTGTCTCTTTGGCAGAAATGTTGATTTTAGGCCTGAGTTTAAAACTATGACTACAGATTTGCAGACAATGCTTTACTGGAGCTGTTTGGTAGTTTCCTGCTGAAGACGTTACAACTGCGACTGAATGGGTTCACTGTGTCTCAATGTTTTGTCTCATGATAGCAAACGCATTGTTTCTTGCTTTGGGGAAAAAAAGGCATAATAAGTTGGTTGTCTCGCTGTTTGTGTGCAGTCTTGGCCGATGTTGGATTAAAGTAGGGTAAAGGTCACTCGGACCCCTTTGATAGGTGGCATTTCCTCTGTCAGGTCTGATCCGTTTCACCAACTTATATATACATATAATTCATAGAGCACATGAGTTTCTCGTTATTGTGACGTGTGTGTTTGCATACATGATGTCTATACACAGAAAAGAAAACTCCTGTGTCGGTTTATTCCTGTTAAAATACATGAAAATAACCTAAATGATTAACAAAGAAACCTGTATGTTTCTGTCAAGGACTTGAGGAGGACTCCATTGCTTGGTTCTCTCTCTGTATCTTCTAACTCCTGGATAATTAAGCATATGCTACTGTTCTTAAATACTAGAGCCTGTGGTACACTGAGTCGTACGTTATTACCGCAGGTTAGCCAAAGCTACTAGCAAGGCTGCAGCAGAGGAACATTACTCTCCTCGTGAATTAAACTTTGCATGTATCAGACAAAGATGATGTTTTTTTTGTAATGTTTTGACTGCTCGCCAAGAGGCGTCCAGTACGGCAGATGAACGGCTTTGTTATGTTGAACAGATGGGTCTCTGAAAGTGAACTGTTCGTGTGAAAAAGGGTCAGAGAAGAGATGTGCGGTAGCGTATTGTGCGGCAAAATGTTGTGTTTTGTTGAAGGTTAAAACAGAAATGTTGTGTTTTTGGAACAGGTGCCAAGTTGATTGGTTCGTTGATTAAAAAATCCTGACTATGACGGCTGATTTCAGCTATTGTGATTAATTACAACCAAACATACAAAATGAAACAGTGTTTGTATGTTAATAATAGCAAACAATAGACATTACGTTCCCACACATTGAATACACAACTGGGCCCATATAAAGTTCCAGTGAGTTTAAACCAAAGCCGGCAGCCTGGGGGATCAGACAGGACGGTCCATTCTTGAGATGTTATGGGGTTTTTTTGTTGCAGTTGATACCTCTAAGGCACACCTGGGCTTACTCACATGGGCCACCAGCTGAGAGCTCCTCAGCCCACTGAGCCTGTGTGAAACATCCTTTTTCCTGCATGTAAAAACATTGTAACAGAGGGCGCGCCGCTGCGGCCTGCTCGCATTCAATGCTCTGTGTAACCGAGGATGTCAATCAAAGACACAGGTGTTTGTACAGAAGTTTTATACCCTGAGAAATAAAGAATGTTTGGTATAACTCACGCTGTCTTTTGTTGATTTTGAGGCTTGTTGTTCAGCGGTGTGACCGGGAATGTGTGTGTCTTTAAAAATAAATCCTAAATGCTTCCAGGTATAGAGTTTATTTGTACCATATTTCTCATAACAAACTCGATTACGCAAATTTGACCAGAAAGAGACTTTAGAATAACAGTCAGGAAGGTCAGTGGGAGTTGGATGTACATCGAACACGCCGCCAGCGACGTTGTGAACTTTGAACTTGTTTTTTTCCTGTTGTTGCTGCTAAAGTAATGTTTTGGAATCGTACTCTGCACTTTGTGATAACCGAGTGCAACAACAGTGCTGCGCTCAGCCGATGCACATCAGAAGCGAGGGGATAAGATGAGAGCGATATTTAGGGGCACAGACAGCGACACACACAGACACACAACACACACACACACACACACAACAACAAACGCAGAATGGATCACATCCTAAACAGACTCTTCCAGGCCCGTATAGTTATGCAAGAGGCTGTCATGTCATTTGGTCAGCAGCAGGCCTGTGTTGTTGGGGGCAGTCGGTGTGCGGGCGGCGTTGGTGCCCTGACTTAAAACTGCTTTGCTCTACCTGACAACACAGAGTCAGCACATAATGAGAAGGCCGACTTTGTTCTGGTCAGCTGCTCTGCGCCTCAAGCAGCGCCAGGTCCTTATTGACTCAAACACGCTGCTTGTTTTCCAAAAATTATCTTCCAAAATCCAATTGTCATGAATTAGAAATCTGCTCGGAAGACATCACCAGAAAGACTGTAAATTTCAAGTTAATGAATAAATTTCAAACCTCACAAGGCCTGTAACAAATGATTATATAAAAACAGGCAATGATTTAATACTAAATAAAGAGGGTGTCATAAGACCTTACAAACTGAACCGATGGAAATACAACAAATCTTTTAACACAAATATCACTGATACAAAAGTTCTGTGACTCCTGCCTAAAATGTTTGCGGTATTATTTCAGAAAAGTTTCCAAAGCTCTCATGTGTTTTCATCATGTTAGTATAGCATGTTGTTCAAGTCTCCAATGTTTAGATTACAATTTATTTTTCCTCCTTTTCAGACTTGGAAAAACAACTGTATCTGTCATCCAGCGTTATTACCTAAAGATATTCACTTACTCAGACAGGTGTGTCATTATTGTGGTTGTATTCACGCATGGAGACACAAGGCAGGAGAGAACAGAAGGGTTTCACCTATTATTGCAAAATAGAGTTTGTCTATGTTTAACTTCTTATTGTGAAATGCTACATGTGCACACATACACACAAAGCTTCCAGTGCGCAAGAAGGCGGCCTGAGGCTCCGTTCCAGACCATTTTATAATTGTTTAGCCTCTCTCTCAGTGTGTGGCTGTGTTACATAACAAAAAAGAGGGGTGACATCAGTGCCGACTCTTAACAAGCAGAACTGAAATACAATCCACACTTTCCTAACAAGCTATAAAGCCGGTGTGAGTGTAGACAGCTGCTTTGTGTGTTTGTGTGTGTGTGTGTGTGTGTGTGTGTGTGTGTGTGTGTGTGTGTGTGTGTGAGTGTGCTCAAAACAGACAGTGTTTAAGAGAAAGAGTTAGTGGGGTGACAGGCGGTGAGGTGGATGAATACAAAGTGACTCACAGATGATCACAACATCAGAAACTCCTACTGCTTCATCGACCCTCTGGAAAGCAGATTTGGGGATTTATGGATCACAAATGTGCAGGAGTTTTAGACGCAGCAGTGTGAACCTCAGATGTCCGACCTTTAACATCTGTGAAAGGTGAAATAGTTCTTTCTGTAGTCAAACACTCAGTGCAGCCGCACAGCGCTGCCTTCTGGGGCATTAAAGTTCTTGTTGTTGCAAGATTGTTATTTACCGTCACAGTGGAGAGACTTGACCACAGCCAGTGTTGTTTTCGCCGACACCAAAGTAGTATGAATGTCTGTTAAAAAAAAAAAAAACAGCGCTACAACAGGACAGTAAAACGATTGTCCTCTAAAGGGAATACAAACCTATCTGCTATCTTTTAATTGTTTTCCCTAAAACCGGAATTTGGAGGTGAGTCCTTTCCTTTGCCTCCTAATATTTGTTTCTTTATTCTATATTTTGCAAAGTCAAACACGCTCTGTCTTTATTGTCGCGGCGTCTCTCTCCTTCATCTCCATCTCGCTCGGCCTCTCTGCACATTGTCTATTTGAATAACCTGGTGACGGCATTTGTGTGTGTGTTTGCATCCATGTTCAAAGTTCACAGAGTGTGTCATGTTGCACAAGTTGATGAGATGCAGTGTGACACACAGCTCCCCTGACTCTCGGCCCCCGCACATACATTTTTCCTGTGGACAACAGCTGACAACTGCGTTTTTATCAACACATTACTGCCGATAACACCACTTACATCTTTCACATCCCGAGCACATTTGTACACATGTCTGTATGGAACATATGCTAAGCAGAGTAAAGTGCAGTATTTATTTTCTTGGATAACACACTAGATGCTGTATGAGGTATTGAAATAATGCCAAACAGAAAATAAGTCAAAAACAATACAAATCACTTATTACTTTTTTTTTTCAAGGATAACTTTAATCACAACTGAACAGAAAATTAAAAGTTCTGAAACTAGTTTAAAAAGGAAATTTACAACAGCACATGATCATATACTTAATACTGTTTTGTTTCAGTTGTTAAACCTGCGAACCCACACTAGTGTTGTTTTGCCTCATTAAACCTTCGCACAGGTGGACGCCGCTATGAGGGGAATAAACTGGATTCATCAATAATCAATACAAGCAAAGAATCTCTGCCAGTGTGCGCGTGTGTATTTGTGTCCCTCTCATATCTCGAGAACCGTTTACTTCACAGTGCAATTGGACACCGGGCCCCAACAATAACGTCCCAACAACAACGGACACTCTCTGGTTCCTCAGCGTGGTTTAACGGTTTTCTGTGTCAGCATTGTTTGCGGTCGTCGTCGCCATGATGAACTGCGTGTGAAGGTAACCCGAGGCCGACATTGTGTTTAGCTTAGTTTATAGTAAAAGAAAATACTCACAGTGAAGGTCTTTTGTAGCAGAGTCTGCTCAAGGTGGTGCCGTTAATCCTAATATGATGTTGCATAACAAATAATACATCATATTTGAAATGTTAGACTTTGTGAGTCACAGACATTTGTCTGTCTGGTAAATGTAATACTCAAAGGTTTTGGGGTTGGGGATCTCTCTGAAGTAACAGTATAAGGGAAGCGAGACAAACTATGTGAATTCTCATCCAAGTAGATGCAGACGACTGGTTCAGGTGATGAGCCGAGTAGTTCTGAGGGTCTGGAATGAGCAAAGAGACTAATCTGATGAAAACCAGATGCATAAGAGGAGAGAGGAGGAGAAGCTGCTCCCCTGACATTCATCAAATCTAATCCAACAACACATTTCACAATTTCCCATCATTTCAATATCTTAAAGTTCATCGTTAAAAGCCTGTTGCAATAGTTAGATTTAGTAAGTTTCATTAGATGCAGAATCAGAATCTTTATTGGCCATGAATGCGTACGCAATCGGCATAATGTGACTGTGGTTTCTATTTGGTCTCAACGTACATAAACAAATAAACAAAAGAAATGTCAAATAAAACAAACACATGTAACCATATATTTAACAACTATGTATAAAGTATAAATTATAAATGTATACATTGTACAACAATTGAGGTGATAATTGTTGTGTATTATTCTAAACAGGTTACTCCTGATGGGGTTGAAAAAGTAATTGGATGGTAGGAACTTCACGATATATCCCTGACACAAACACACACACTCACACACACACACACACACACACACACACACACACACACACACACACACACACACACACACACACACACACACACACACACACACACAAAAGCACACTTGTGGGAAACAGGGATTAGTAACTGATACTGAGAGGTGGGAGAAAGCAACCTCCCTCTGTGGCCTCTTAAACCAGATGTAACCAGCTGGCAGAGACACACACACACACAGACACACACACACAGTTCCCAGTGACCTGTCTTGAGGCCAGAACCTTTGTCCTTTTCTCAGCTCCATGAGCCGACACATATTATCTAGAGAGAGAGAGAGAGAGAGAGAGAGAGAGAGAGAGAGAGAGAGAGAAGCCCACTTTCAGCTGTGCAGAGTTCAACGACGGTGCTTCAATGCTTCTCTGTGTCAGAGGACCGTTCTGTGAAGGTCTGACTGTCTGATGGTTTAATGAATCATTTGAATCATTATTTTCATACAAGAATAACGGAAAAGTCACTTGTTGGCAGAAAGCAAGCAGACAGTGGGGGAGAGAGAGAGAGAGAGCGTGTGGTGTTGAAGTAGTAACTCCAGAGAGTCGGGTTCATCCGATAAGCTCTGCATGAGTCATGGGAGGCTGGTCCTGGGAGCAGCGGGAGGATGAATCCACTGTCTTGTGGATTCTCTAGAAAGAACACATTGTTGCTTCCTGAAGAAATAACACCTGTGATCTGTTGAACATGCTATCATCCAGTGTAACAAGCCTTTGCTTTATTTAATATAAATTGGGCAGTCTTAACACCAATCCTGGGGTAGAAAGTGGTATTTGTAAATCACTTTAATGGATAAAATGACCTGGTGGCTGAAAGGTTTTGAAAACCCTGGACCAATTGAAAAAGGGGTCAAATTACTTTCTTAAGAGGACCTTTTGACACGAAAGCATCACAACTTTAAAACTCCCAGCTGAAAAGACTCGTGTTATTCTAGGAAAAGGGTACAGCCCTCCCCTTCTCCTCCTATTTTAACGCACTTATTGTTCAGAAGGGATGCTACATAACCTGAAGAAGAGTCTACAAGGTTGATTTTCCTGTTTAAATAATTATCAACCGTGGATAAAGTCATGAGAGATTAGACGTCTGTGCTACATGCAGGACACAGAGCTTCTGCTGCTCCTGCTTGAACTGTGGTTTTCAACCCGGTCACAAGATGATTCAGCCGTGAAGAAGAAGGATTTATTCAATCACGAGATGTGCGAGAATGTCTATTTTTCTCTCAGTAACCACAGTAAGTGTTTTATTCTTGTTTCAGTGGACAAAGCTCTCGATCAACAAATCCCCCTTGATCTAAACTATAACACAAGATATATTCTTCATTGTCCCCAAGGGGGGAGGAGGGGGTTGTTGCAGCACACAGCAGGAAGCAGGAATAACGCTCCCTCTCTGCCTCCAGGCTCGTGACGGCTGAGCATCATCTCCTTCCCCGACAGGAAGCAGACGCGAAGGTGAACGGAGGCCTCTGAACGCTCGGTATCGTTGCTTCACATTCAAGACAGCAGATTTTTGTCATTGTAGAAGCTCAAACCGACTCTTTGCATGTAGGTGCTGTTATATTTAGAGCTTTGACTAGCGCATTAGCAAGTTTACTGCAGAAGCATTATCTCATCTTAGGAGGAAAATACATTTTCAGTGAGCAAACTGTATACGCCCGCAGCAACGCTTATTTCCACCAGGCTCCCATCATCTGCTCCCCGGCCCGTTAAATTGATCAGATAAAAGAACACAAGGAGCTGCAAAAATGATCAAATCAAAACATTGAAATAATCTTTAGTAAGAGCAAACCTTGCCTTTAAGCTTCTTTCATGTCTTCTTTCAGAATGAAACACTGGAAACCTTAACTGTGTTTGTTGAGAGCAGCATTTCTGGCTGTTATTTATTTCTAATTCTGGTTTATATATTTTTTTCGTTAGGCTGTAGGTAAAGAATCATTTAGTGTTTCAATGACAACGTAACCTTTTTGTGGGAAAGGGGCAAATAAGGTGAATGTACACCGAAATATTGTCTGGGGAGTTAGTGAGGAGGTGAAACTGCTTCTGTGAAAGAATGAGAGCGTGAAGAAATGTTTGGTGATGTAAGAGCAGCAGAATGTCCGCTGATGAGACAGCTGCTTGTTTCCACTTCTCTCTTATCTCTGACCGCACCCTGTGTGTGTGTGTGTGTGTTTGTCCAGTGTACACACTCATGTGTGATGTGTGTGACTCTGTTCCTGCAGGTATGTTTGTGAATCATCGGCTGTGTGTGTGAGTTTCAGCTACGCTGCCCTCAAGGACCCTCGTGCCACTGAAACGTTTGTATTTCACGATTTGCGCTTAATCAAACTAATTTCAATTATGGTTTTTAGCAATGAAAAAAAATCGGTCACGCGTGAGGCCGTGTGAGTCTGTGTGTAGGTGACTTAGTGTGTGTGCCTTTGGGTCTGTCACAGTATTTTGGATGGCCGGTTATAGCTGCAGGCTGAGACACGGCTGCTCGTCTTGAGTTGGGCGGCGAGCAGTTGGTCGTTGCAGACGCAGCTGGTGGAGATCTGCTTTAATGGGGAGTGCACCCTTCAAGTTGTTTCACATGTTTGTGTTCTGGTTGCTTTTTTGGATTATCGGCAGCAGCGCAAAGTTTTGGAAGGAAGATATTTTTAAATGGGGATTTCATCGCCTCACAAAGGTCCAATAACCCTTTGGGGGGGAAAGGGTCCCCCCCCCCCCCCCCCATTCAAAGCAACAAGGACCAGGCCTGGAGGGATCATGGAGTATAAGATGAGATGGAAAAAGAGAGGAAGTGGAGGGAAGAAGGGACAGGAAGTGACAGAGGGTAGAGTAGAAAAATCGGGGTTGGAGGGGTTCCCAAAAGAGCCGAATTGCGATGAAAGGGGGGGGCGGGGAGGGGCAGGATGTGAGTAGTTTTCCTGTTTTTCCATTAAACGTGCTGAGTTTGATGCTGAATTACACACACACACACACACAAACACACACAGAGGATGTGTCTGGAACTGACATAGTAGTACATCCTGCCTTAACAGAACAGCTGACTGTGACATCTTACTGCAGCGACTGTGTGGTCTGTGTGTGTGTGTGTGTGTGTGTGTGTGTGTGTGTGTGTGTGTGCGTGTGTGTGCGTGTGGGGAGGGGGGTCATGTGTATGTATGGAGTCTCTCGCAATGAGGCTGTATTCAAGGAGCACTTTGGATTATAAACCTTTTTATTATTGGACACTGACACTGACATGGTTGAATTCAAAATGTTGCCGTCTTAAACCTGAATGGACAGTTTTTGGTCACATGGTGGCAGCACAAAATAAACAGTATACCAAAACTAATTTAATCAAATTAAGTCTTTTAGACTTCCAGGTAACATGGAGCAACATTAAATCTATGTGGAGTAATGTTTGTGTTCAGATGAGGAGCTGACAGGAACATTAGTGCAAGGTGGTAATTTACTGTCCGGTCCTCACCGCCAGCCTGTCACAATAAGCAAAGTCAATTTCTAGTGCAGCATCAAGGTTGGAGTTTAACTTAAGGAATCCATTGCATCAATCCTCAGAAGTATACAAGTACAGTGTGTGTGGTTTTGTGTTAAAGTGAAAGATTCTTTATTTACACTTCCTCTCCAGCAATTTAGTGAAAGATGCTTATTGTTACAACAACTAACTAAACCTCATGTAAGATTATAATCATCCCATATTACATACACATCCAACACCGCCAGTGCAAATGATAACATTCGTTACAGAAATGGACATTCAAGGAATGCGACTCTGAAGAAGAACCTACGTTTAACTATTTTTGTCCAGAGCGAGTATTTAATCTGCACTACAGTGGCCGCTGGAATGTATGTGTGTGTGTAGGTGTGCGTGTGTGCGTGTTTTGGGAAAACTGTGTGCAATATATTTTAAGAGGACGAGCAGAAGATTGAAAAAGATCTCGATGAATACTTACAGTGTCTAACTACAACCTGCTATTGTGGTCTGACTTTATATATAAGACCTACACACACACACTGTTACACACGCACAGTCGCAGGCCGGGTCTAGTTGGACTCCTGTGGCTCTATTCCACAGCCATCAGTCAAGTTTAAGAGTCTGCAGACAGAAGCGACTCCCCCAACACACAAAGCTGGACAAGGCCGCCATTGAGCTCCACAGAAGTAGCCTTTTAGAAACATTTTTGTAGTTACAGCAGTGAAAAGTCTGACTGCAGCAGCAACCTACAGTGGCCCTTTGAGAAGACGTCAAGCACGGGAACAGCCGTAGTTCATGTGTTCATCGACTGGGGAAGAGGTCTGCACAAAATAGTGCCGTACACACACACACACACACACACACACACACACACACACACAGCCTAGTGTGGACTTGCCTGCATTTCCTAAAGACAAGAACATAAAAAAACATCCCTCCTGTCCTTAGAGATAGGGATAAAATGTGTGTATACTGGTGTGTGTGTGTGTGTGTGTGTGTGAGATGACATTTTTAGATTCCAAGGACAGGGTGTGTTTCCGCTTTCTATTGTTCCTGAGGCAGAAGTGATCCTCGGTGGAGCAGAGCAGGCCTGTGGAGTAGCAGCCAATGGACAGCACAGGACAGAAAGAGCCCGAGGCTGATTAAAGTCAACTAAAGTCCTTCCTGGACCTTTAAAGCACAGCAGTCCCTCTGCTTCTTCAGGACTCTGCTCACGTGCCATAGGGTGCAAATAGCGATTATTTGGTTGAAATGGGGTAATTGTCGGTTGAGGGAGTGTGAGCCGGGTGAATTCCGCGGCTGAGCGCTCCGCCCGGCTCTTCGCCCACACGACCACCTCTCAGGCTTTAAAGGATGGAACAGCACGTCACATTCATTCTGCTGCCATCTGCAGGACTTTCTGTCTTACGAAGAACCAAAGCAGTAAATGACAGACTTAATGGGGGAGATCCCATAACTTCTCATTTAGCATCAGTTTCAATGTTTTTAACAGAAGATAAAAGCATTGATCCCAAGAGGAGCAGCGAAGACAAATGATTACAGAAAATTGAAAAATATAAGTTAGGACTTTTTAGTGTATTTCTTTAACATTAGAGAACACAAGATGCATAAAAGTAATGTGACCATTTCTCCCATTACATTGTGTATAATACAAGAGAAAATATATTAGTTTGTATTATCTAGGCTACTTTGTATTGAATTAATCTTTATTGTTCTTAGGCAGCATTTAAAACAATACTGTAATCCTTAGTTTTCTAACTATCCACAACACTGAAGTCTTTAAGCTGATATATGTGTTAGAACTGGATGCTGCATTCTGAATCAATCAAATTAAGATTGATTGGCATCCTAAAAGTTTAGGGATAGAATCTTGCAGTAACCCCCAAAACCCATTAAAAACCTGAGAATTGTGCCCTTATTGTTTTAAATAAACACAGGAAAACGGTTGTCATTATTTAAAAAATGTATTTGTATGTACTTACATACCGGTGTCAAAAGAGTATGCACCAAAAATGTCACATTGACCCACAATTACGAAGAGAAAACATTTTTCTTCAATTACAAGTATTGAAAAAACTATGTACAGAAAAAAAGGTCATGGTGACAAGATAGTTCACTAGAAACAAAATTACAGTCACACAATGTGGTTTTAATGACATCTGCAAATAAAGACAGTTATTCTCAACAGCTACACTGTCTTAGTGCTCTTAAGTTTAAATTGTATTTCCACTCAAAGAGTAACATTGTGCATCATCTACAGTTTAGCGTCAGGGCATTTTCAGCGTGTGCTCACAAATGTTTTCCTTATAAGATCACCAGTCAACAACAAATGTATCATCAACAAAAACAAACAAACATTTGAGTGGAAATACGTTTATACTTAAAACATGTTCTAAAGAGGATCTTAAAAGGTTGTTACAACAGAAACAGGGGAGAGCAGAGAACGGTGGACCGTCACTCACTACCTCGCTACCTCTGCTCGATTCCTGCTATCAGATCCTACAGAGGAAAAGTATACAAGCCCACGAAGCCTCCGGCATCTCATCTGGACATTTACAGATTTAATTAGACACAAAGCAGGAATGTGGGGGGGGGGGGGGGGCCGATGATGGCGGGGTATTTTTTGGTTTTTGTGTGACCCGCAAGAATGAAAAAAATAATGAATGGGTGCCAATACGGGGGGAATATTTAAAATGGCAAACAAGAGCCACTGGACTGGTACCGCTAATCCTTCGGCCCCTCTTGCTCACTGAATCAGGGAAGCAACACATTCAATTTAACTCTGGACTAACAAGCGCACTTTGGCCGCATCGTCAATCTCGACTACAAAAGACACTAATATCCTCTCATTTAATCACTTTCTCTACCGTTATCACGGCAAATCTAACTGCAGCCATTTCGGGTCCTTGCTCTGGTTTCGATTAATTTGAGGATGCGATATGGTGCCTATAAGAAAGGAATTCATGTTCTGTTTAAATGGCACTTTGAGAAACAATGAATGCCGTGTAATGCGACGACCCGTAGGGGGCATTGTGTGGCTACATACTGAAAAGCTGCAACAAAGCGTTCGAGTTACACTTTAGAGTGGGATCGGCAGCCGGTCACGAGAGCCACCCTCAAACTTCCACTGAAACCAAAGGGTGAGGCCGCCATGTTGCGTGGAAGAACATCTGAACAATAACAGAGCGGTGAACGTCTGCCTCGTCCTAACGATTGCTTCTAGTTACAAATACCGGGCTATTCACGGTGCCCGGGAATTGTTTAATATTATTATTTAATTATTCATTTAGGGACGAAACATGTGTCCAGCTTCTTTCCAAGAAATAAACTGGAAATGTGGGGGCGAGTTAATGGGAGAATTGGCTTTAAACAGGAGGGGAAAAAAAATACACTGATCTTAGTTCAGCCGATCTTACGTGTAGCAATGAACATCGGTTTTAGGGTGAAACCGTGTTTGTGAGCTAAGGATTAAACAGAACGTGTCTCTGGTGCTTCTGGGTGGCCTCGGACCAGCTGCTCCCTTGGCACGGCTTCCCTTTCCTTTAGTTGCTTTTAGCCTTTTTGCCATCTTTTCCGTTCTCCTCTGCCTCCTCCTGGCTCTTCCTCTTCTTCGTGTCGTCTGGCTGAGCGGTGGATGGGTGTGGCCGCAGGGTGATGATGATGCAGGTCATGTTGTCACAGCCTGTCCCGTCGCCAGATGTGTCGGGAGCCAAACAGTGCTCCAACAGCTGCCAGAGGACATGCAGGGTTTCAGGTTTCAAAAAAAGTACACGTATTCACGAGAAGCGCACGGTACCAGAGTCAACTATGGATAAAAAACAACCCATAGTACATTACATCCACAACAATAGCAGCGTCGTCGTCATCCTCCCTCTTAATGCCAACATGGCAGGGGCCGCCATCTTGGGAGTGGCATGATCTATGAACGCATTAAATGTGAATCAGGAGCCCTCGCTCACCTCTTCCACTATGGATGAGAGGAGTCTGACATTGCCGCTCTTGTCCGGTTTGATCCGCTCGCTGACGAAGTCCACCACCTCCTGACTGCTCAACACATTCCTGCACACAACACGCGTGTTAACTTTCAGATTTAAGACTAGGGTTTATTATGAATACAAATAATAGAGTACAGGTCTAAACTGCCAATAAAGCTCACCAGATGCCGTCGCAAGCAATGACCATGAAGTCGTGATCGTCGTTAAGGGTCAGAACTTTGACGTCCGGCATCGAAGAAATCATCTGCTCCTCTGCAGGCAGAGCCTTGTTCCTCTTGTAGAAGTGATCACCTGAGAGTCAGAGCCCAAGTTAGAAACTCATTCTGCTCAGAGGGGGAAGTAGACTCAAAAGCAGAAGCGCATGCAGACATTTAGAAACTCCCACCAATTTTTATTTCATTCTTGAACAAGATCTGCTGTAATAAACAGCAGTGCTGGTGGTAGTAGTCTGAAAGTCACACAGTATTTAAGTATTCCTTACCAATAGCTCTGGAGAGATTAAGTCCACCGTTGACCCGTCCATCCATTGTCACTTTCCCTCCAGCATTTTTGATGCGAGCGAGTTCCACCTCATCTTCTGGCTTGTGGTCGTACGACATGTCGACAGCTTTGCCTACAACACAAAATGTAATAAATGACTGCCGAGCCCCTTATTGAGAGATCTGCTCCTTTACCGTTGGCTACAGCAGCACAACACGTCATCAGTGTGACCTACCACGCTCAGACACCACGCAGCGAGAGTCCCCAGCATTGGCCACGATCAGCTGTTTCCCCCGAATCAGAGCTACGACGGCTGTGGTGCCGCTGTCCGACCCCGGCTGCGAAGATATGAACATTGGAGACGTGATGCACTGTTGAGACCTCCACCATGCATGACATCAAGGTTAAAAAGGTAGACTCGTCTTTAACAAAGAATGAACTGAACAATGAGCATTTTTTGGTGATAAATGTCAACTAGGAGGTGTTCAAACAAGAAATTGACGGCATCATTTATATTATATCGACATTAACTCCAGACCCACAGCATTGTTTTCCACGCCTCTAATGTCACAATGATTATAGATCTCTTAAAAATATAACATTTTATCCATTTTTTACCGTATGATGCTGTAAACCAACATCTATGTTTATTGGTCTCATGCACCGGACAATTAACCGTCAGCCCGAAATCTAAAGTGATATTTAGACTAAAATGTAAATAAATGCCAAAGCCCAAATTGTTTTGAATCTAATATGAATATTTTGTACAGCTTCAACCAAATGACATTTTCATTGAAATGCCTCTTTCAACCCCTGGTGGTAAATAAGTCTTTAAGCCACTGCACACTGTTGAAGTGTGTTTAGTTACAATCTCCATTGTACACACCTCCTCCTTGCCATCCATTCCAGGCAGGCACATTTCCTCCTCCCCCTCTTCCTCTTCAGAGTCTTCTCCCTCGTCTGTATCCTCTTCTTCGAGCTCACTGCTGTCACCCTCTTCGCTGCCATCCTTATTAAAAAACAGTTGCGGTGAGATACAAAGTTTCAGTTCTTTCAAATTGCTCTATTCGGGTTTCCTGCTTCTCACCTCTTCCTCGCTGCCCTCCTCTTCTCCCTCCTCAGACTCCTCGCTGTCTTCAAAGAACCTGGACTTGGAATCGGCTGCCTCCTTAGTGGACAGAGAGGAGCAGGAGGGACCTGCGTCTCCCTCTGCTTTACCAGCCTTTTCTTCTCCGTTGGCGCTTCCTGAACCCCCACAGTCCGCTGTGGAGAAGAAGTTGGTTATGGCCTTTAAATTCTACAATTAGTTTTAAAATAGAACAGTAACCCAAGGCCCCTTTTCTCCATGGTTGTCTGTTGGAGGACAACAACATAGTTGTTAAAGAAATCTCAGCTGCGTACCTGAACCGCTGCCTTCCCCTCCTGTTCTCCGACAGGCTCGCAGCTTCGACCCGCATGCAGCTCCTTCGCCTTTCTTCGCCTTCCCATTGCTCTCCTCCACCTCTCCATTTACCCCATCCTTCTGTGCCTTCCCAACTTCCTCTTTGTCTCCGGTGGCCTCCGCCTGCGAGGACGCTTTCTTAGCTGCCGCACTAAGAAAGAACACAGAGGCAAAAAAACACACAAAAAACAGCCAAGCACATGAGTCTTATTTACTACTGTAGTTTTACACAACAAACGCAGAACGCTGGACTCTGAGTTACTAAAGCCTAGAAAGACGTTTCTGGCTTTTAGTTGATCTAATTGTTCTTAAAGTCATTCAAATATACAGACAACATAAAAATATGTCTGAATACAGAAAGTCATGCTTTACTATCACTACTTCCTTAATGTGATGTATGATTTGCATCTAAATAGGGAGGACGTAATACAGTAATCAGTATTATGTCAGCTATAGATAGCCAGAAAGACAAGACTCATACAAATCTGTGATTACTGCACGAGCCGACTTGTTTGAGGTCACCTCATTTAGCAAAAAGGAACTAATCACGGAAATTTGACGGAATCTTTAAAGTCCCAAAGTACACTTCTTCATTGGCCCTTTTGGTCTCCTTTGTGAAAATAAAAAGTGTGTATGATTACCTGATGGCAGCTGCATGCTTGACTGCATTGAGGTTCTGGCCATAGCGTACCAGCAGCTCCTCGATGGTCATTGTGGCTTCCTCGTGCAGTAAAGCAGCCTCCTCTGTGTCCACTGAAAGGAGGGAAGAAACATCAAAACATTTAGATAATGACATAAATGGAATTTGACATTCCTGGTTCTAAACTACGTGCAGCATAAGCACTTCAGGTCATTTTGAGTTCTTTGTATTCTTGTGGTCATAATGACTCCATGTTTCATGTTGCTCTATGTCAATACTCCCAGTCCGTTCTACCATGAATGTGCTTTGTAATGGGCTCCTCACAACACGTCAAGCATTACAACACATCTCATTGTTGGGGGTGTACTCACAATCGTCCTCTTCTGACACCTTTGGAACTGGTGGCTGCTCAGTGGGACGCCCAGCAATCTGGACGAGCTCCTTGATGACCTCCTCGGTGGTCATACTGCTGTCGATGGCCAAGAAGGCATCCTCCAGAGCCTGGAAACATCATGCAAAGGGGAGTCCAGTCATTGGTGTAATGTGTTCCATTCAGTGTTTTAAATAGGTCAGTACTGTTGGAGGGAGCACAAATGGTTACCACTCAGAATACATCGCCTTCACCAACACCTAACTAGCAACTACAGCTGTCGAGCAGCAGACATCTGCTAAAACTTCACGTATCATCACATCAAAATAAAACCCTCAATAATTATCTGTACCGTACCCATGACGCTCAGAATGAAGCGTTTTGTTGAAATACTGATTGCACCTTCAAATACTATTAATACTGATACTAACATTACTCACACTACTAGTGTGTATACGGATACTTTCTTATTAATTGTAATTATTAATCTCAGCTTTTCCTATTTCTATATATTTAGTTTCAGCTTCTGTTCCAAGTCAGTTTGTGCCATCTCACCTTTTGAAGTTTGCCATCTTTGTAAGCCTTCTGCTGCTTGATGATGTCAGGAAGGTACTTTGAACAGTACAGAGCCACCTCCTCACCTAAATAGTACAGCAGGTTGAAAAAGTTCTCAGTAGGTGTGTAGAACAAAAAAAAGGCGAATTTGTGCGTAGTGTCCATATCAGGATCAGGTAAAAAAATCATTGTATGTAAGTGCTAACATAATATGCCACAATCTATCCTGATAATAATAAATAATATACAGAGAACAGAGTGCAACACGCTTACCTCCGTGTCCGTCATACACCGAAAACATGGCTGTTTCTTCATCAAATTCTGGGATACAATTGTGAGCATCCTGTAGCACAACCAAAGGGGGAAAAATTATAATATGGACAATATGAAAGTTTACATAACATTCTGAAACGTCAAAATCATTGCATTCAGAATTCTCTCTTTTGGTTAAATATATCAAACAAAATGGTCAACCCAGACAGTCGTTTAACAACTGTAATCTATTGATGAGCCTTTCGCTATATCCACGTTTGAGAATTGGATTAACGTTACTTTTATGCATTTAACATCGTCATTCTATAGTTGCTGATTGCAACTCAGCCTACCAAAAACTGCATGTGAATGAAATATGGATACAAGTTAATCCACGACAGTTGCGGGAAACTACACACTCTACTGTGGGAATATCACAAGCGGCCCTATGCGAAGACACCTACGAAAAGAGGCCTCAACCCCCCTGTCCCGCCATTTACAGCTCGAATCAAATCCCCTCTACGTTCTGTTCAACAAGCGGACCCTTGGTGGTCTTTGATCCGGTTTTCCGCCTTAGTTACCTCCATGGAGACGCGCCAGCCCTGCATGGCAGAGTAGCCGTAGCTCATGTTACTGTTGCCGCCATCGGATGAGGTCTTGGTCGTGTTGGGTTGCGACAGATAAGCCCCCATGGTCGTCGGTTGCTATGGCTTTGCACCTGTAATGAACACGGCAGAAGGAAACGTCCCGTGTTAGCCTCACAGATAGAGACACAACCAAGTTAGCTAACGTTACTTTTGTCAGACTTTAGCTAACGTTAGTTGCTAGCTAGCTAACGTTAGCAACGCCACAACAAAAAGTATACGCGTTAGCTTGCTAACATCGGCATGCTAATACACAGCTAGCTGAACTTCCAGCCCTAACCTCTGCCCCCTCCCCCACTCTGCGCAGTTGTACAAAGATCAGACACAATTGTAACGTTTAATTTACCTATTCGGAATGAGCAGGATGAGTTTGTAATCGGATACCAACGAGAGAGAGCTTCGCATAGAAGAGATTGCACGTGTGAAAGCAAAAGCCGCTATCAACAAGGCAGACCCCAGAGGAGCTGGAGAGGAAGGGAGCGTACGCGCGTGCGCAAGACCATTTCGTTCCATCAAGTGGGCGTGTTTCAGTTAACGTAAAACAAATACATCTTTATTTTTAAACAGAAATGTATTTATTTGAATTTTAATTAAAAACGAATTTTCTAATCAATTAAAAACATTTAAATTCAACATGTGTGTTAAAAAATACACAGTCCATTTGAGTCATTTTACGTCCATACGTTTACTTTTAAAAAACAATGATAAATAAAAATGAAACTATATATTATTATAGATTATTAGAATGATAAATACCATGTCCACAATTGTTTTTTTAAAATTCTCAAACCCTAAAATAAATGGGGTCAGTAGGCCGTTTTGTCTAATCTGAGGTGTGGTAGTTTCATGTTTCATTTATTTTGTTTGATTTATAACTACATGCACACATACAGACATACGTCTACCAACCTATTGGTAGATTTGTAGACTAGATCACGACTCTTTGCTGTCCTTGCGCCGAAATGGTGGAACGAGCTCTCTGAAGACACCAGGACCGCAGAGAGCCTTCACATCTTCCGCCGCAAACTAAAGACACACCTGTTCAGACTCTACCTCGACTAAAGACTAACACATTGTAGCACTTAAATTGTACTTGTAACGTCACTCATCTATAGCAAATTGTAAATTGGCTTATTTGAGGAAATTGCACTTTCTTGTTTCTTGTTCTCCTGAGTTTGTACCCTATGGTTGAATGCAATTATTGTACGTCGCTTTGGATAAAGGCGTCCGCTAAATGACATGTCATGTAATGTAATGTCCATATTTTATTCATATTTTATCACCTTTTTAAACCCTGTTGGCAGCATCTGGCTTTGCTTTCGATGGTGCTCCTGGAGGTACACCAGCAGATGGCGACAAGGGACCAGTTCGTTGTTTGACAACTGCCAAAAACAGTACACGAAGAAGACAAAAATAAACTTCCATAGATTCAACAGAGCGCGGGAAGCCTGGGAAAAGATGGCGACGGACGCCCGCGTAGAAGCCGACGAGGAGGCGGACAACGTCCCTCCGTCGACTCTAAAATTGTACGAGACACAGTTTTTCGGGTTCACCCCGCAGACTTGTATGTTGCGGGTCTACAGCGCCTTCCAGGACTGCCTGTACGACATTTTACCCGTCGTGGAGAAGGTGTGCGTCCGGCAGCTCGGCAGAGGAGAGTCCGCCGAATCCGAGGAGCTGCTCCGGGCCCGGGCCCGGGAGTGCAGCCGGAAGCTGCAGCGGTTCCTCGATGAGCGCTTCAAGCTGCTGGCCGAGCGGATGGAAGCGCTGCTGACCGAGCGATGCTTCTCCGTGCCGCCGAGCGTCCTGCTGCCCGAGGACCAGTTACACAAGACCTACCCGCAACACATCCAGGTGCGAGCAGGTCGACCACGGATTGTTATTAAGACCTTATTATGACGTTATATGTCGAGTCGGACTTACCGGTGCTTTATTTAGCCCTTGTAACGTTAATTTAACTCACAAATACTTTACATTGGTGTAAATATTTGGACCATGTAGGGTTAATCTTAATGTGTTTAAAAAGAAAAAATCCAGCTAAGGCTTAATCTCTGTACATTAGTGTTATGACACTTGATCTTCCTTTTCCTGGATACCATTACACAATTACCTCTATAGAAGCCATATATGAACACTGGCTGGTATAGTCCGTTCATTTACAATCTTTGTTGGTGTTTATTTGATGGTTAAGAGTAACAAGTTCTAAAAATGACATACAGTCACCACAAGTTCACATATTTGAAGTTATTTAGAAACTGTAAAAATGTTCTGTTCAAAACTGTCAAGAGTTTTTCATGTAAAATCATGTATTTACAACACTAATCGGTGTTATATTACAGGGTTTATATTCCACAATGTTTTGTTCAGTTCATGATCCAAGTATAAAACTAGAGTCAGATGATGACAGGTTTTTATGCAGAAGACAAGTCATTTTTCCTGCTGCTCCAGTTTGTTTAGAGTTTAATCATCATTGGTCATTATATTTCATCCTACAGTGCATTTGTTACAGAATATGTTTCACTCCCACCAATGTGTCTGTCCGTGGTTCTACGGTGTTCATGCTCCATCCAGGAGGTGCTGAGGCTGGAGTCGTCCCTTGCCGACCTCCAGAGTGCCTACGAGGCAGAAGTATGTGCGCGGCAGGCCCTGCTAGCCGAGCTGGAGGAGCAGAGGGAGGTGCAGAAACAGCTGGATGGGATTCTGGCGTGGGTCAGAGAGCTCCAGGCCGCCTGGGTGAAGGAAGGTAACGGCAGCTTCCACGACAGCTTCCAGCTGGTGATGGAGTCTGTCAAGAAGCTGCAGGATGCAGTTGGAGAGGTCTGCAACAAGGCGCCTCCATGAACTGAACTCAGATTCGTTTAAATTGTTCATATCATCAATGAATTCGTGTTACAATGTAAGTGGATATTGGAGAACAGCAGACCTCTCTTTTCCTCAAGGGCAAGGCTTCTACAGGACCTTTTGGCCAACCTGAAAACAGCTTCTTCTTTTTTCCGAGTATGACGGTAACTTTTGGCCACTTGTAAAGAAAACCGCATTCATTCCCTGTGAGAAGAAGATGCAGATAATCCCAAATGTACTTCATAAACAGTGCTCAACAGCAATGCCGGCTGACACGAGTTCTAGTTTACGTTTGTAAATGTAATGTAAATAATAAAGCAAATGAATATATCTGTCGCTTAAGCTGATTTTTAACTTGGTTACTTTCTGTCATTACTGGGCCACATTCCCTCATCACTGTCTCAAAAACCCTTCTCCCTAACGTCTTATTTTCTTGTATTGGCTCATTACTGGGTTGGTGGTGATACTTCTTTTATTGGATAGCATTTTAGGTGTTCATCATATTGTGTCCACCGTCTGGAGAGCTACAGGGAATACCCAGCAGAGGGCGTTCTCTACATGTTAACAATGCAAACCGAATAAGTACAACATCAGTAGTCATTATTCACATTTGGGGCAAAAATATCTGTGCAAATAAAAAGCTACTTTCTCAGATGCTGGTATTGGGGCTTACTTGGCCACTTGAATGTAACTGAGCTATAGCTAATGTTTAGAAATACATGGGTCAAAATTACTTGTGTGGGAAGTTTTATTTTCTTCACCTCCACTATTTCATTTCTGAGAAGTGTTTCACGGTAATTTCTTTAGGGTTCAGATTAATTATTTTCTGTTCAGCATACAGAGTTATACATGAAAAATATATCAATATAATGGTTTTAATAATTTCTCCTCCCCTTCACACTAAAACGCTGTGTTTTCACAGTTGTGTGTTGGGCTGTAGGCGGCGCTAATGCTCATCTATTTGTCTCGTGCAGTCGGAGGCATCACACGGTTCACAGCAGTTTAAACATGTGTCTTTAATATCTTCTTGCAACCTTCTCTCCAGACAGCAACATTATCTGTGAGAAACATGTATTTTATGGATGATAATAGAGTTTGACTGCTGACGTATTAGTTCACTTATTGTCGCTGTCATCTTCGGTCAGGCTACTCAAAGAGATTAAAGGGGCAGAATGTTGAGATGGTTTGGAGTTGAAAGATGCTGCTACAGCCTCTGAACTCCAGACTCATGGGCAAGTGAAAAAATAATACTTCGCTCTATAAATACAAATATTACTGTATTTGGAATGGATACATTTGATATTGTTATATATTTTTTGTAAAATTGTACTTTTATGTTCCTTGGTTTTTGGACAAGTAACATTGTCTGTTACATTCTTTTTATGTTAAATTCCCTTTGATTAAGTGAAATAATAATTGGCAATAAACCAGGTTCTGATTTTCAAAATGCAACAGCCAGCAGGTGTCTGTTGCCCTTGAATAGAATAACACTTTAAGTACAAATATACACACATTTTTGGGATAATTCATTTTGCTGTGATTGTTGTTACTGACATGTTGACATTTACAGCCCCAAACAACAATTGCAACTAAAAGAAAACAAGAGGTGCAGTGTAAACACTAAACATTTGTTTTAACATTCCTGAAGTCTTTGTGTGTGTCTGTGTGTGTGTGTGTGTGTGTGTGTGTGTGTGTGCCTGTTGTGATTAAGTGGAGATGTGATCAGCGCAGGTGGAGAGGTGTGAGAAGAACTCACCATTTCTGTCTGTGCCGATGGAGCAGTGGCTTCTGGGAAAAAATCATCTTACAGGATGTAAATGATTCTCATTTGGAGCTATTTTTTTTGGTTTGAGGCAGAGAATCAAACATCAGTTGTCAAAAGCATTTTCTGTGTCCAGTTTGAAGAGTGTGTTTCCTCTACGCTATTTGAAATGAGCCAAGCGGACAAAGAAAAGTATTTTTATCCCTTTGGCTTGGCAATATCATTTATAAATCCAATCCAGAACCCCTCGTCAGTGGTTTCTATGATGCAGAGCTTCCAAGTGGTCTGTGCTGGATATATCGGGCATTATGTCGGGGTAAGAAGTATTACGAGGACTTTTTGTAGTTTAATAAGACCCTAAATCAATCTGCCCTCACAACTCTATCGCTAGATCAAGAACCAAATAAGAATAATGAGAATAAAACATTGATACTTCATACTTTAATCATACTTCAGTATGATAAACTACCACCAAGAGTATGCCATTAGATGGGTTTCATCCCTAATGAAGTAGTAGATCGTATTAGGAATATACACCGTTGATATAAAGTAGGTACCATTTACTCCTTCCGCTTATTCAATCTTTATTGATTACTCACTTTCCACCAAACATTCATATTTTTCCAGTCAGGTCAGGGGAGCTGTGGTGGTGGGACGGTTATTTTTTTCTCCTCTGACTTACTTTGACTTATGACAGACCCTTGTAGATTGCTTTTACATTTTAAATTGACATGATGAGGACATGCTTTGGGGATCAGGTTAATTGGAGACTTTAAATTGCCCGTAGATGTGTGAGTGTGAATGCTTGCATGTCTCTGTGTGGCCCTGCGATTGGCTGGCGACCAGTCCAGGCTGTACCCCGTCTATTGCCCGAAGTTGGCTGGGATGGACTCCTGCCCCCCTCCGACCCTGTGTGCAGGATAAGCGGTTTGACGATGGATGAATGATGAGGACTAAGAGGAAGAAACAACACCATATTTTCCATATTTTGTTGGACAGCATTGCAGAGCAGGAGATCGTAACCTCGGATTATGTTCTCAGGAGTCACAGCTTCATCTTGGATATTGGGCGCTTCAATTTATAAACCTGTCATTATCTACCCAGACCCCTAATCTTATGATATATATGTAGAGAAACAACGTGTGTGAACTCAACTGACAGCTGATCTTTATGTTGGTGTGCAAAGGTACAATAAATCCTGAACTCTGCCTTCCTTGCCTGCCCCCCCCCATGCTGTTTGACGCCTATAAAAGACAAAGAAATATGAGGACACACAGAAACGAGTGTCAGTGAGCGTGTTAATGTTTGTGTTCGAGGGGAGGCGCAGACAGAAGCTTGTGGAAGAAGAAATAATACAAAAGCAATCGTAATAAAAAGCGAATCCCCGCATTCTTTACCTTCCTTTGTATTGATTTTCACTCTTAATGCAAGCGCATCGCTTCTCTCACGTGTGAGTCAATGGCATCGCCTCAAAGGGACACGCAACCAAGATGTGAACCCACTCGTAAAAACGTTGCTCCACAGAGCAACCAGCGGCCAAAAGGTCCACAGGGGACCTGTGAAGCTATTTATTACACTTCTTCTGGGCTTTAAAATATAAATAGAGACAAATCTTTTTTATTCAACCGGTATACAGCAACGTGTGAGCTGCTGTGTGTTCTTATGCATTTATTGACCTTTGAGTTGTTTAAAATAGTTTGTGTTTATTAATAGTCTAGGTGTGTGTGTGTGGAAGCTGGAATTTTTGACCAATGTATACGAGTTGTGCGAAAGTGTGTGTGTGTGTGTGAGTAAGTGAGTGAGTGAAGACAACATATGGACAGTGCCCTCCCTTCCTGTTAGGAGGGGAACAACGTGGCTCTCTGTGAACCATAGCTTGGCCTCTGACCTCTGAGGATCACACACACACAAAGAGAGCGACACACACACACACATGAACCCAGATACCTACACATACGCAGATATGCATCCCCACTCAGCCGGCCAGCTGTCCCGCACCGACTGACTGTCCCGCGCGGAGACGGAGAGGAGGTGAGAGTGACGGTCGGGCGCGCAGACAGGATTGTTTTCTCAGGCCGTGAGTCTGGAATTCACTCAGACCCTTTTTTTTTTTATACCCACGTGTCTCCCAGCAGGGAAACCAACACCCGTCGGCAGAGCCTCTCTTCCCCTCTCAAACGTTACCTCCAACTGTATCCGTGTGACGTCACGGCCGAGGAGGAAAGAAAAGCAGCGAGCGATCGCACGGCCTGGCTTCCATTCCATCAGCTTCCCCGAGAGACTTAAAGTGGTCTCCATCGCGCTTTTATTTCGCAAGCGTGTGGTGTCAACCCACATTGGGAATGTTTTACATCTGAATGCTGTGTGTTTCCTTCAATCCCGTCAATCTGTTGCTGAGGGCTCAGTGCTGTTATGTAATCAAAAGAGCATGGTGAAAGATGAAAAGGTTAATGGGGTCGAGATATTGTGGCTTCAAAACCAACTGGTTGTCTGTGCTGCTTTTTTTAGTGCAGGAGAATAAGTCAAGAAGAAGCATTGTTAACACAAACCAGCTGCCTCACATTAACTTTATTTTATTTTTTTCCTGATATTTCTGATCTGTTGGCTAATTTATATATGTTTTTTTTGTGTTAATATCTCTCTGATGCGTCGTCAAGATTATTTTGAGATATTATTTTCCATTTCTGAAGTTCTTTTATTTGCCTTTGTGAATAGTTTTTAGATATGTAACTATCCAGCCCGTTTATTCACAACAAGCCACAGTCTGACATTGAAAATGAAATGAGTTACGGTGCCTTTCCCAGAGGTTGGATTCACACAATAAAGGGAGATCTTTACAGAGATACGTGTATGAAAATGTTGCAGGGATTACTTTAACATCCACCACTGACTGGTTTCAACTTCAAGTGTCTTTCTGCTGTTTTGTTGATATTCTATGGTGTTTACAGAACAAACATGGAAAAGAAAAACTCTCCCAGCGAGTCCAGATCCTGAAAAACGCTTGTGGTCACATGATTGTCAACTTCTACTTTCTCTATATCAGTTTTTGGCCACATTAGTGTGTAAATGGTCACTCTTTGTGCAACCTTTCTCTCAAAGTGACCACAGTGACTCTTCTTTCTTACACTGTGGTCTTTCTAAGTGGTTAAAAGATGCCTTGCTCAGTAGCAGCTGGCACTCAGGTAGACAAATTATAACAACTGTATGTCGGCTATTTAAACTGTGACACCGTGCTTTTGGCAGAACACACGCTGTGGGGTAATGAAACGTCGTTGTAACCCCACAGGAAGTCGCTCACCGGGCATGTGTTCGATCGTCTAAGCGTATTTTCAACAGTTAAAGAGAGAAAGGCAGGACAGCGCAGGAGAAAGAGATGAAGAGGTGAGAGAAGGAGGAAAAAGAGGTGAAGAGGAGCAGAGGAGCAGCTGGCAGGTGTCAGGAGTCACAAAGGGCCATCTGTCCATCGAGGGCCATCTCAACACACACACACACACACACACACACACACACACATTCACAGACATTAAACTTTCCCCCTTACAACAACATGCCTCAACAGAGCTCCTTACTTCAGTGTCTCCAACGATTGGCAGACTGAGTGTTTGTTGGCTGTTGTGTTGAGTTCTAATCTTTTAGAAGTTATAATCTTTGTCTTTAACTCTGCAGTTCTTCACCCTGTCAGTCGGTCTTTTCTTGTCTGTAGAGACGAAAGGACAGCTGGGAACAAGTCCAGAGAAGATGTAATGGTGACAAAACGGTGCTGAGGACCAAACACAGAGGGAACAAATCCAACATGGGTGTGTGTGTGTGTGGGTGTATGTTTGTGTGTCTGTTGTGTTGCTCCTGCTCTGAACTCTGCAAACCGACCGCAGCTACTTACCAAGACAGGCATGCATCCAGGAACACACCGCTGACCTCTCACCTCAAACAATCTCTTTTGACTCTTGGGAGTTGTGATAAGTGTGGGACGA